TTTGAAATTGTTTGATGGCAGTTTGATATGGAGGCCATGTTCGGTGCTGCCTCGTTACCTCCGAAGTACTTCAATCATATCGGGCAATTGTGGCACCCTAACGATGTCAGCTGGAATAACTGGCATCCTTTATTGGCCCTTTGTTGCATCGATTTGTGTTGGCCTTAATGGGGCGTGGGTCACCTAGATTCCAAAAAGAGAAAAAGAAAAAAAATATATATTTTTTTTTTAAAACTTATGCAATATCTGCTTAAAAGTCTTCTTATGTTTACCTAACCTTGGCTGGTGAGGAAAATGAGACTTAAAGACTCAAGCGGTGCTCTCAACACTATGAATCAGCATACGATGGCTTCCACAGAAACGGAAACATAAACATGCATTTCATTTTGGGGCATGTGCGAGATGAGAGCCAAGCGCTGCAACAGCAGCCGCAGCAACATGGACGACTACCGGCAAGGTTGCACTCACATGCCCAGAATAAAATCAATAAACCAAACACGCTGCCACACGGAAAACTAAAACCCAAAACTGTTTATAGAGCGCCAAGGAAAACAGATTGTTTTAAAATTTCAGAAAAACTTTTTTCAACATTTTTGCAATAAAATAAATATTTACACACCTATAGTATATCATTTTTTTAAGTGTGCCACAACAACCACTGTTGACCACTGTCAACAGTCAAGTGGCAGTGCATTAAAATTGTAAACTTGAACAGCAAACAAAAGCCACAAACAGACGACGATCCGGGGCCGGATTGGAGGAGTGGCGGCGGGTCAGGAGGCGGAATAGGAGCTGCTGGAACCGCTGGAGCGATGAGGTGCAAGCCAATGCTGGAACTGTGCGCATTTGGACGCCGGGTATCCGGCTTATGAGCTCTCTGCCTTTGGCCTGACTCTGCCAATTTCAAATTGTGCGTCACGTACACGCATAATGGGCAAAAGTAATGAAAACATATGAACAGACACGCAGGATGGCCCTGGCCCTGGCCCTGGCCCTGGACCTGGCTGTGGCTCTGGCTCTGGCTTTGGGCCTGGAGTGCACTCCACTGAAGCGGAGTGCAGCAAAGTGAACCAAAGGATGAACCAATGTGCATGGTATACCCCCGCAGTAGGCACTTGCAATCGCAAATGCACAAAATAATAATTTCGCAATACGCGCAGTTCAATTACAATTACAACCAGTGGAGGCAGCAACAGTGGAGCGGCGGCAGCAGCAGCAACCACTGCAACTGGCTATCATTCTGAGGCATTTATTTTACAATGCATTGCCGTAATATAATTGATATGCTCTAAGTAATTGGCGCTGACCACGCGAGCAACTTTTCGTTATTTTGTTGCTGCTGTAGAATCTTGAAGTTGCTGTTGCTCCCGATGCTGCTGCTGCTGGGGCTGTGGCAAGTGAGAGATCAAGCAATCGATTTGTATATCGACGGGATCGATCGATTCATGGCGACATGGTGGACCACCCCGCCAGGAGTGGCGCCTAATTGCAGGCCCAGGAGCCACATCGGGGGGCTGCTGCCGCAACAGGAGCAATAACAACATGGCAACAGCAGCAACTACATCATTTTTAATGCCCTAAATCGCCGTTCGGTTGTTAAATTTTGTTTATAAATCAGAAATGCCTGTTTTGCTTGTTGCTGAAAGCTGTACACTTACAAAAATAGTTTATCTAAAATTTAAAAACTTTATATAATTTTTTAAAAGGTTAAAAATAACTAGTCATTCTTTAAAAAGAAGTTTAAGACTCTTCACATATTTCTTAGTTTTATTTTTTCTTATTGTACATGTCGCCAACGAGAACTACCATTTATGGGCAATTAGGCATCGATTTGAGTCGCTGTTGCTCCTATTCCTGGTGGAAATGGTGCATCTGTTGGTCCTGCGAACGCCATTAGTGGAATGTGCAACAAATCATGGCTGCAATTAGTGCGTGTTTACGACTTTCAGCTGAGAGGGCGCCATTTCAGCGCTCAATATTTTTTGCAGCTTAGTTTGGCCACTTAATACCCCCGTCACTTTTGGGATATGCCGACAATTTGCATGCGACAGCAACTTGCAACGTCCAGCCAGAAACGCCAGGGACAAGCAGCAACATAGAGGAACCGCAGCAGCAGCACCAGCACCAGCAGCAGCAGCAGCAATCGATGATGGCCAGTCCATCGAGTGGCGTCAATAATGGCCTGTCGTTGGCCATAAACGCCCGCTGGCCATACTGTTTAGCCGATAGTTCAGTTCTACTTGTTCTGCCGCAGCACTAATTGCCGCATATCGATGTGTGTGCGCGGTAATGGCATAGATCATGCTAATATAATTACACGCTGGACGCAACATGGCCAAGACTGTGACTTGTACTAAGACTGCAACTTGGACTGGAACTGCGACTGGGACTGGGACCTATCAAATTTGATATGAGGAAGAGATCGAGCTGCCCCATAATAATTGTTCAGAATTAAGCTTTTAAGAAAAGGATCTTTAGATTTACGATTGCTAACCGCTGCCGCCGCCCGGCACAAGACTATAAATAATTTCTATATCAAAAGCCGGCTTTGATGATGGCCAGATTCAGCCGTGGGGCACTATCGGAGAGCTCGGCTCTCAGCCCAGTGATATATCTCTGGGGACTCCACACACTACTCGTGTAGACAATATACTATTACTACACATATACATATTGTTGCTGACGTTTTATTGCTTGGGGCCAAGAAATGCAATTTTCGGCCGCAACAAAAAAAATAGTACAAAATATAAAGAAATGCTGCGGTGCTGCTTAAAATTCCAACGCAAATTGCGGGCAAGCGATCAAAACTTTGTTGCATGTTGCTGGTACTCGCTGGTACCCACAGCAACAGCAACAGAAACAGGAACAGCATCAGCATCAGCAGAGGCCACAGCAACATCAACATCAACACAAGTCAGCGTCATCACAAACATCAATTGACCCTTTGGTGCTTCAGGATCAAGCGTAATAATCGCCGGCATAAAAACGCTTTTCACATTTGCGCCCACAAGGGCAACCGCAGCCACAGAGTGGGGCATAGAGATTTTCGCAAAAGTAGTCACAGTTGCAAGTTAGAGATTCCCAGCACTAAGGACACGACCATTTCTGCTAGAGTGTGTTTTAGAGATTAAAGCAAAGCCTTACAATGTTAATACAAATTTAATACGATACCATAAATACTACCCAAGGAAAATAAATTGAAACACCCGATCCCATGTTTGTTCTAAATTTCGAAAAGAAACATCAAATAGTTCTAAGCGAGTTTTGGTTTCCCTTTGGCTGACCTGAGTCTCTTCATCTCGGTCACATGAACGACATCATTGTTCCGGAGACTGAGGACCTCAGCCGTGTCAGTGTCCTCGATCCGGAGACCACGAACTCGAAACACAGTACGGTCGTAGGGTATCTTACAATAGTCAGTGTAGGCCTTCATCATCTTCTGCAGCGGCATCTTGACTGAGATATGAAAATCCACTTGTCTTTGGCTCGGACAGCGAACCCTTAAGTCTATACGGGTCATGCTCCAAGGATTGTATTAATTGTAATATTTTTTTTAATCTAATTTTGTGAAAATGCTGTGTTTTGTTGATGTTTATTTCGTACCTAACGCGTTCCTTTTCGACTAATGAAGGAGGTTCAATATGGAGAGACTAGCCTATAGGAATGAAACTCCCAAGCCTTCTAGAAAGGGGTTTCCTGTACTGTAATGGGTATTTAAAAGTTCGACCCTGTGGCGTCCAAAAAAAGCCTATTTAGTTTCATTTTGTTCCGTTTCTCTTTGTGAATTTTTATAGCACTGGCCCACGGGGTCAATTCTGCACGCTTGCCTTCATGTGTGCCCTGGTCCAAGCCCAAGCCCAAACCTTAAACCAAAATTCTGAACGCATATACATGCACCTATGCCTGGCACCGCGAAACGAGTGCAACACGAACTGTTTAATGGACTGGCCATGCACTCACTCCAGGTCGGGTTCCTCGGACTGGGTTTCAGGCCCAGATGGAGCCCATCTCGTGGTTTCACGGCCATGTGAGAAGAAGACATCTGGGTCCCAGGCACACGTTTCCCGCGATGTATGGAGTGCCGGTGCTGGTGTGCGAGTGTGGGTTAATCAGCTTTGCCAGCCAGCTTTTCATCAAATTGTGAAGCGGCACCCACGACGAGATGGCACTGACAAAAAACCCAAAAATATATTTTAAATATAACTCTCTAAAATATATGAATTTTTCTTATGGAAAAGGTTTCTTCCTAGGATCTAGAAATCATCGAAAAGAAGAGGAAAAAGCTTAAATATTTGCTGAAAAAGGTTTTTTTTATAAATGTCCATAAAGGTACATTTTAAAACATACATTTTTTTTAAAACCTAATCATATTAATATTATTTATCACTTTAATAATAGCATTATAGTTTCAAGTGAACCTCCAGCAGAACCGATTAAGTATACGACGTGTTGTGCAGTTATCATCGAGATGGCAACGATTCCTAACGGAACGCCATGCGTCGTCGTCGCAGTTTCATGACGGAGGTCTGGCTCTTCGGTAATTTATGATTCGTAGCGCACGGCCTGCAAATGATCTATTGCCCATTGCAGTTATCCCGGACGAGGAGGAGTAGGAGGCAGAGGTGGAGGTGGAGGTGGAGGAGGACTTGGATCGGCACTTGTTGCATCAGCTTTGTAACAGCCACAAGTGATTTCTTTCGCATCGGTGCCTTGGGCCCTCCTGCCTGACAGTTACAAAGTGCGCCCACTAGTTGGCGGTCAGGTTAAATGACCCAACCAAACCCAGAGCCACAGCTATAGCCAAAGTCAGAGCCAAAGCCAAAGCCAAAGCCGGCAAAATACAATGCATATGCGTTGTCGACGCCATCTCGCATCTTTGATTAATGGACTTTTCGTGTTGGCCATGGCTCCAAAGTCTGGGCGCTGTGGCGTCATAAATAAGCCTAAAAATTCAACAGGCAACAAGGAAAAGGTGGAGCAGGACGCCCCTGCTCTGAATATTTATCATTGGTAAACTTTATTCTTTACATTTACATAAAACGTGTTAAAATTACTTGTCCAATTTACTTTTTTTAATTCATTTTCAAACTTACACATATGGATATCGTAATGCAATGTGTTGTGAAGGATAATAAATCGAGTACACTTTTAAAAGACTATTTGTAAATTTTAATCTAATCTGGCTACTATAAATTACGATTCTGCTTCCGGCAGAGACCATGCAGGAGATGGATACACATTGTCGGCGACCTTTATTCCACATCTACACAATACAATTCGAGATATTCCGTCTTATATAGCTCCTCCTGATCTGCTCTATTCGCTACTGAATCCGTTTCGACTACTCCTGCGGCTGTTGCTGCAGCGTTGCGGACTGTTGAGACTTTCTGGCCTGCTGCCCAAAGCACTATAACGATGGCGCGTTGTACTGGAAACCGGGATTGTTGAACTTGAAGCGCGCTATCTCAAACTGCAGTGTTTCGTTATTGATATCGGCCAGCCGCTTCAGCTGTTGCGCAATCTGTTGGGCATCGTTGCTGGTTAGCGCGGAGGTCAGCGAGCTGGGCTCTCGTTCCCGATCCAGCTTTGTGTTGTGCAACGGCGGCACCGCCTGCATGTTCGAAATACAACGCGGCGCGTTTTTAACTGAAAAATTAAATATAAACAAAAGTTAAAAGGATTCTTTAGATGAGAAAATAGTTGAGTTACCTTCGTAGATGATCTGATCCCGGGCCTGTGTGCGCATCCTTTTTGCGGGCAGCTCTCCATTGATCAGCTTGCTAGCGGAGGTGGCTGTTCCGGCGTTGATAACCGCAGATGCTTGGCGTCTCGTGGTAACAAACTCTACGGGATGATGGATCACCTCCTGCCCTTCGTCTTCCACGGATTCGTAGGAGGTGTTGTCCACGACAATGGTACGATAAGTGCCGCCGCCTGTGTTCACTGCTGTGGTGGCCCCTGCAGCACCTTCGATGCCGCCGCCATTGTCCGCCAGGCCATCGTCCAGCATGTCCTCCTGATCTACGTGCTCTTCTACCATCTCATCCTCGTCCTCCTCGTTAATGGCCTCCTCTACAGCTGCCTGTAGCTCCTTTTGGAAGGCTGCCGATGTGCGTTGACCCAGTTCCTCCATTTCGTCGTCGTTTTCATCCTTCTCGGACTTTAGGTTTACCAGAGCATCGCCGGTGGTGCTGGGGACTTTGCCAAACAGGTCCAGAGCCCGGATCTCTAGGGTCGTCATTGATATGTCCTTGTCCGTTGACTGAAGACTGCGTCTGTACTTGCAGCGGGTGGTGTTCTTCCAGTCATTCAGGCGCTAAGGAAATATTTTGGAGGGAGAAATTGGGGCTGTCGTTCAAGGGTCTGCAGCATTTGTTTACCTTTCGCCACTCCTCTGCCGTGAGTGTGGGACCGGAGCTGCATTTGTTAAGCTTGTCGGAGAGCTCCTTCCACTTCTTGGTCAAGTAACTGACATCGCAATCGCGTGGAAGCCGCCCGGTGGCGAAAATAGGGTCGGACTCCATCATATCTATGTACATCTGGTATTGCTCGGAGGAGGTGCGCTTTTTGCGACGGTCCATCTTGCCGTTCATGCGATGGTCACGTTAGTTGCCTCTGTTGGCGTTCTTGAAGTCTTTTCTCAGATAGGGTACAGGCAAAAGCGAAAAAAAGCAAATCGACGCCACCAAGCGAAGTGTTCAGGTAAATACGCAAGTATTGTAAAGTGGTGGATGTTTTTTTAGTGTTGTTAATCGAAACAACCCCTTAAAAGATGCACAAATCACCCTGTGGGCAATAAACATTTTGGTCCATGATGTTGCCGATAGTTTGGACAAACGATAGTTTTAATTTAATATATTTAAACAATGCCATCATTTAACTTAACACAAGAAATTAGTTGCAGATATTGTAAGCTATAATTTTAATTAAATTGTAATGATATAAATTTAAAAAAATTAAATTACATTAAAATATGATTGTTTTTTCAATAATGTTTTGTATATTGGTCATATATTCTTTACATATAAACTATTCCTCTCTTCTATGCTTTAGTAAAAGCACCTTTTAATATTAAAATTGTTAATATTTTTAACAGTTTTTAAAGATACTTTTGCAGGTATATGGTACTATAACCCCGAAATGAAGTCGAATCCGGGGTTGTTATACTTAAAACTAGCTATTTTGAACTGCAAGGCGGCCTCCTGAATGTCACATATTCTTTTCAGCTGAATTTCAATTTGCTGATTGAAGTCGGGGGCAGGAACTTCTTCTTTGGGAGATTTTTCACTGAGAGGAATGTTCGTCACTAGAAGATAAACATGAGGAGGAAATTGTTATTTGATTCTTACAATAATAACCTTCTTACCTTCATACAGAATGGCTCCGATTCCATCGATGTGCAATCGTTGAGTGGATGCCAATTCACTATTTATAACAATAGGCTCCGTTTGGGGATACACCTCCTGCGGCTCCTCAAACTCCTCTTCCTCCTCCACCTCTTGATACTCTTCCTCTTCCTGCTCCTTCACATCCTCGTCTTCCTGACCGTCATCTCCCAAGTACTCTGCGGATTGCTCTTCTTTCAATTGCTGTGCGTAGAAAATCTTCAGGGCTCGATTCTCTAAAAGCGTGATCGAATACATCCTTTTATCGGTAGCAAGTAGACTTCGCTTATATTTGGAGCGGGTGGTATTCTTCCAGTCGTATAGACGCTGTTTTGTGGAAATAGAATCGGTATGAAGTTGCGACATGAAAACAATGTCTTTTAAATTCACCTTTCGCCATTCTTCGGGAGCTAAGGTAGGACCACTTGGGCACTTGTTCAGCTCATCGCTCAGTTCCTTCCACTTGGCAGAATCCTGGGTTCGAGTCAGTTTGTTGGCCGCCAGCAATGGATTGGCCTCCATGGTGTTAAGAAAGACTTCATACTGGTAGTACGATGTGCGTTTGCTGCGCCGGTTCATCGCGATTTCGACAATTTGAACCCGAAAACAAAACAAACAAAGTTAAAAGGGACGCCAACAATAATGCGAGTAGTGTGACCATTTTCGATTTGACGCTAACAACAAAAAGAATAAGATGCAAACAATGCGCGGCCCATTTAAAATTGTCATGGGACATTGCAAGATATGTAATCAAAATTGCAAATATGGAACAGGGAATTTATTTAAAAGTATTATAAAAGGTAAATTAATTACTAAATACTAGTATTTGCTTACAAAATGTTTTGTGTTTTCTATCATTGTTGAAATGTACCAAAATATACCCTAGGGTTGGTTACATGAAAAAATTCTAGAAACTTCCTATCATTCCTAGAAGAAAACAAGACGATTGCCTATTTCGCAACTCTAAGAAACTTGATAGCTAGACTAGGCTTGCTAACCTAATAACTAATTTTGATTTAAAAAAATTCTCATTCAGGTAAAAATTTGTGTCTGGTATTTTTCAGCATACAACGGACGGTAACATAGTAGTGCAGAAAAATCGAGTTTCCTGCATTTTCAGGCGTGAAAATATACGTGTTATTGTGTATTTTAAGGGCTGAAAATAGTGCAGGCCGGAAGCTAAGACTCTTGGCCATCGTCGAGGATTGGAAAATAGTCAGAATATGTGGCCGCTGGCCCAGAAAAGGCCTCACAAAAACGACGCATGAGACAGCCCGAGAACGAATTGCGAACCAGATGATATAGCGTGCGAGAGGCAAAGAGAGGCGACGAAGACGGTGAAGAGAGAGAGGAGAAGAAGAGCAGGCCAGAGTAGACACAAAACTCCGACTTTTCCACATTTTCCAATCATATTTCGTTTGCCATCGAATTGCTCCCAACATGGCCGAGGTTGCCGAGGAGGTGGCTCCGGCTCCGACATTCTTTGCGGAGGACGTGGGCGGCTCTGTGATCGTGGAACCCGGAGCCTTACCTCCGACCACCCCAGGAACACTGACACTGCCAGCGGCGGCCATGAAGTTCGCAGACCTAACAGAGAGTGGTAGCGAGTCGGGCGACGGGGAAGCTGGCGGACAACCAGGGACCAGCGCCTCCGCATCCGTGTCTGCATCGGCCAGTGGCAGATCCTCACCGCCGCCCAATTGCGCTATTTGTCTGTCGCGCTGCCGGCGCAAGTGCTTCACAGATTCCTGCATGCACCAGTTCTGCTTCAAGTGCCTGTGCGAGTGGAGCAAGGTAAGGCTTTTAGATCTATCTTCAGATAGATGCATCTGCTTACACATTCCTTTTGCATTACAGATCAAACCGGAGTGCCCGCTGTGCAAGCAGCCCTTCAAGACCATCATCCACAATGTGCGGACTCTGGATGATTATGACCGATATCCGGTGCAGACCACATCGCCCTCCATGCAGGAACACTCCTCCCTGCGTTTCCACATCGTTCGTCGTCCCAGATACGTGCCACTGGTCCAAAATCAAGCCGTGATGACTAACGACATAGATGCTGGAGCGGAGATAGGTGGTGGCGTCTTGGTAGCTGCAGGCGGAGTGGCTGCTGGAGAGGATGGGATACTGCGGGCAGTAGCAGAGGAGGTAGTTGGGAGCCGACACACCTACAGCCGGTTCGAGCCCTACCGCATGGAGCTGATGAACTTTTACCGACAAGACCAGGAAGCGGCCTCCCCGAACACCTCCCTCAGCCAGCTGTGGCGACGGTATGTCTACGACAGAAAGCTCTACGCGCTGCCAGTGAGCGACAGCAGCACGGGACACTTTCGCCAGTGGAGTGCCCGGTTCTACAGGTACGTTTTTGGGTCCACTTCTATACAATCTCTTTAATGGCTTCTATGTTACAGAAATAATCCCGCCCAGATGCATCGTCTGATGCCGTGGATCCAGCGCGACATCATTTGTCTCTTGAGGAATGCGGCGCACAGCGTCAGTACCGTGATGCAGCTAATGAACGACATCCTGCCGATGACGAACATACTCGGCCCCACATTCCGGCGCCGCTTGACGCCATACCTGGGCGACCGCACCAGTCACTTCATCCACGAGCTGTTCAACTTTGCTCGCTCGCCCTTCGACATGATTGGCTACGACCATGTGGTTCAGTACTCTGCCCGCGTAGCCGAGGAGGTGGAAGTCGACCTCCTCGACATGGTGGAGACCCAATCCTCTAATGGAAGTGAACTCCATCTGGACGTGGGCGATGGCGACGGAGACGGCGAGGCCGGAAATGCAGAGTCATCGAACGATTGGAGCGCTGCCAGCGGCCGCCCCTCCACGAGCGTGATTGTGACCAATCCCAGTGCCACACATTCCTTCAGTGTGACGATGGCCAGTGATGGCAGTGAGCTGCCAGGCATATCCATCCGCCGCACCGCAACTTCCAATGTAGGCTCCCAGACTGTGGCCATCAACCTCAGCATGCGGCGTCCGGCAGAGCAGGTGGAGGCGGAGTCAGAGGTTATCGAAATCGATGATGGCGATGCGGCCGCCAATGCCGAAGTGGCTGCCATCACGGATGGTAGCAGTTCCAGCCGGCGGAATGCAGGCGCAGCTCTGCCGGTCAGCGCCCACATTGAGCTCCAGAGCAGCAGCAGCTCCGGCGATGAAGATGAATGCGTATTTGTCCTGGAGCTGAAACCCCCACACCTGCGCACCCCGGAGCAAGTGAGCCTGGACTCCAACAGCGACTCCGACGTGGTTTTCGTTGACGAGCAGCGAGAAAATCCAGCTACCGCCAATCCTGAGGCGCCATCCACAGCGGAAGCGGCTACCAGGGATCAGGGCCTGTTTATGGGACCAAGTACGAGTGCGGCGGCCAAGGGTGGCAAAAACTGGGAGCTGGTGCTGGAAGAGGTGCGCCGGAAAGACCAGAGACGGGCCACTCGAGTCCGCCAACTAAACTACTTCGGAGCCAGAAGCGCCAGCAATCCCAGCAGCAACAGCAGCTCTAGTTTTAACTTCTCCAGCGACAGTGACGACTCCAGCTCCAGCAGTTCCGACTCTGAGGGCAGAAAGAAAAAGCGCCGCCGGCCCAAGGCGTCTAGAAAGCGTCCTGCCAAAGCTGCACAAAGACCCCGCCGCAAGCGCAGTCGCCGTCAGACGGCTAGAAGGAAACTTAGTCCAAAGCAGGAGGAGCATGAGCAGGATCTGCCCCCGGAGCAGCCGCAGATGCCGCTGGAGAGCAGCAGTGACTCGGGCAGCTCAAGTGATGATGAGTCCGCCGCCGACAGTAGCGGAACCTTGCGTAAGTTCCAAGAAAGAAAACTAATCCTTTGTGGAAACCCATCAGTTTTCAATGTTTATTTTTTAGAATCACGTACGTATGGTATTAGGTACGCTTGTTTCTAGCGTACAATTACCAATAACTACAATGTATATGCCTGCAGTTGTGATTCATGAGTCAGAATATTTATCAGCTATTGTGATTCATGTTCGGCGCATGCAGTTCTGAATTTTTGTTATTACTTGCCCTTATTAGTTGCAAGCATTTTGGAGCAATTGTCTCATTCTCTCACTTTTTACAGGTCCTAGCAACAGCAACGCAAACAAGGACACCTCCAGTAGCGACGATTCGGATGACGACAGCACGGAGAACCTGCAGCTCAGCGCCTTGAGAGCAACTTTGAAAGCGGAGGCCACTTTGGAAGATCGGAAACCACTCAAACGAGAGCTGCAGCTTCCCGAGGACGAGGTGGAGAATCAGCAGCTAGAGCCGACTTTTTCCCATCAGGCATTGTCCCGTCAGGAGGACATCGAACCAGGATGCAGTGAACCGAAGCGACGACGCAGCTGCAGCAATAGCAATCTGTCCAACTACAGTTACAGTAGCTCAACGGAAAGTACCAGCTCGGCTCCAGTAAACTCCTTTATTTGGCCCCCATCGAAATATGGAAAGGATCCACTGGTTCGTGGAGCGGCAGTTGAGGAGCTCGACATAGCCAACTCGCTGATCGAGCTTGCTCCGCTCTCTAGTGAGGCACGTCGGGAAATGGATGAAATTTTTAACGTTCAATCCGATGGCGCGGAAGATTCCATAAGTTTCTTAAGCAACGACTTGCCGCGCGGAGAAAGCAATTTGGAAAGAGCAGATTCCCCTCTGGGGCTCTATTCTGACGATGCAGTTGAAACGGAGGTTAGCCAAGAACCAATGCCCTTGGATGCACCTATTGACGTGGTAGGAGAAGCGGAAGTTGAGACCGCCGAGGATACGGCAACGGCCAACGAAGAGCAAGATGAGGATGACGACGAGGAAAATGAAGAACCGAATGCAGGAGAAGATCAGCAGACAAATGTAGATGAGGACGAAAAGCAGAATACCGGTGACGAAGATGAAGATAAAGAAGACAATGCAGGTGAAGCTGATGAGGAGGAGGAGGAGGAGGACAACGGCGACGACGACGGCGAGGGCGAGGGCGAGGATGACGATGATAATGAAGAAGAGGAGGATCAGAACTCGGAGAACTCTGATCCCGACGGTGTGTACGCCCTCCTGGCGTCTCTGGAATAGGCTAACCTCTTTTAAAGTTATTTGTAAACGTTTTTTAACTGGTTTCCGTCTTGTCGTGTTCCGAATCCTAAACCATACCCAAAAACAAAAGGAAGTACATATAGATTGTATATGTTTCAAAAGTAACTTAAGTTGCTTGTAAGTAAGGTCTAATCTTAAGGTCGTAGTTGTATCCTAGCGCTAGGATTGCCATTTTAAGTTGTACATATTCACGTCTATTCTAATATGCATTCATACATACATATATAAATGTAGCCGCAACATGTTCTTGCATATAAACCCCTACTCCCACCTTCCAATAATACCCATTTATAACTCTGAAGATCGCCCCTATCCCCACATCGATTTGTAAATGTATTTATTTAGGATTATCCATTTAAAACATATGAAATAACTAAACTTAACTGCAAGTATCTTTACAGTTCGTAGCTTATAAACCATAGATATAGCACACCGATCATTTTTGTGGCGAGTGTTAATGTTTTTTGCATGGAAGGGCGTGGCCAGTTAAGATTTTAGTGTACTCGATATATACAAAGAAATTTGAAAACAAAAACATACATAATACAGATCAAATGCATAATAAATGTAATGATTAAATGTAAAAATGTCTAAATTTTATTTTTTGTGTGGTAATTTTTGGTTGAAATTAAAAAAAAAGGCCGGTTGTTCGTCTTCCGTCGTGTGCATCATCCCTAAAGTAGGCTTGAGTATATCGACGTTTGTAAGCTCCCAAACTCCTTCATCACGGTTTGCAGCAGCATATATAAACAAAAATAATTATTGGTAAATATCCATGTTTATTCGAACGTATGAAAAGGGGTTTTGGATAAAAAAATGTAATAGATGAGTTATGTTGATCTCATGTATTAATAATAATAATTAAAACCTATAAACTTAATACTTCCCTCGTCGTGTGAGCTTCCCTTACGAGGGCTTCGTACAGTTGGCAGTATATTATTAAAAGCAAATATTTTTTATTTAATAAAGGTAAGATAAAAGTTTTAATAAACAATAAAGCTGATTAAAGAGTCAAGTTGATTTTTTTAAACAATAATAATATAATAATATAATAAAACTCATAAGCTTGACTCTTCTCTCGTCGTGTGATGCATCCCTAAAGATGGCTACCTTACAGTACCGTGTGTACCAGTCCATCACCATATTTTCTGTTTCCCTTTCCACACATTCTTGGTGAGTTTGCAAGTTCTGTGAAATTGTAAACCTAGCTTCATTTTCTTAAGGTAAATATATACATACATCTGGATTGAGAAGATTCAGTGCAAGGTACAAGTTACGATAAAAAAAACAACGAAGTTACCTGGAAAATGAGGCTTGAAACTGTCAATTGTCGTTTCGAAGAATTTTCATTTGAATCGACACTTGCCTATTGCTGATCTGAAAAGTTTTCGCATTAATATACTTCATTTAGTAGTAAGCCCCCGACGAACAACAATGGTGCCCCGTCACATGATCCACTGGCGGGTCTATGTCTACAACAATGGCTTGTATTCCTTGCCCGGTTTGGAAACACGCGGATTTCGTGAGTACTCGCCGCGGTACTTCAGGTGAGTCTTCCGTGAAGAATGGCTTTGTGTAAGACAAGTTTCTTTCTTGCAGTCACAATCCCTTTGAGCTGCACAGGGTCATGGACTTTGTCAATCGGGATATATCCATCTTGATGAGGGCCAGCAAGGGCTCCGTGCTGAATATTTACGAGACCATTGTGAGTCTGATCACGCGGGTGAGCATCAAGAGCTCGGAATTCTACAATGCTCTGGAGAGCTACTTTGGTCCCAAGACCAATCAATTTATCCACGAGCTGATCAACTTTGCCCGCTCGCCGTACGACAGCCTCATGTCCTACGAGTGCAATGTCCAGTACAAGTTCCTTCCTGAGGATGAGGATGGCCCGAGTACCTCGGCAGCGGCGAAGGAGCGCCAGAAACTGCCTCCGACCTTTTTGAACTTTGTCGAATTTTCGCGTTGCGTTAATCCCGACGACTGCTCCATCTTTGGAGCGGAACTTATGTTGGAGGACGAGGATGCCTGGGAACTGGATGCATTGCTCATGGATTATTTTAATCGTATGCTGTTCGGAGAGATGGAAGACACCATTGTTGGCGGAATACCACTTACGCCAACTACGCCACCAGCAGAAGGAACAAATCAGACCTCTGTATCGAATCCAGCAGGAATATCATCTCCGCGACTAGAACCGCCGCCGGCGACCCAGCAGCCATCTACTGAACAGCAACAGCAACCACAGCCACCGCAATCCAATTCACAGGCTCGGCAGACACCTATTACGTTGCCGGCCTTGCATGGCGATAGAACTTGGATACCACGTGCAACAGCAAACAGTGTGCCAGGGAATGACCTAGACCTGGAATTGGCCATCGAGCGCAGCCTGTTCGATACAGGTGGTGCCAATAGGGACCTTGGCTTACTGCACGGAGGGCGTTCCTTTATGTTGCCAAATCAGTTGCCACGCGGTGTGTCAATCGTAGCGGGAGCCGCATCCGGAGGCGGAGTTGTGCCGCCCAATCCTCTTACATCGTCAAGAAGACCCGCCACTTCGTCGGTTTTGATCCAAAACATTCTATCGGCGAGTGCAGCCCAGCGTGCCGCTCGTCGTCGTCGCAATGCCGCCATTCGCTCTCGCCAATCCAACCTCTAGGACCAGGACCGTTCGGCCATAATTTGTTTCCAGCTAAGACTTTATTCTTTTTAAGTTCTCATTTATAATACAGCAGCCGAGTAATGCTCTCCAAAGGGTTCAAAACAATGCAAAAAAGACATCAAAAATTGATAATGCCAATGGTATTGGATAACTGAAAAGGGATTGCCCATCAATAAGGACATGCCGTGGAAATTGCGTGCCAAATATGCCTTTAGCGCATACTTTCCTTTGTCTTAATTTCGTCAGAAAAGGTAGCACGGCTACTGTCGTGGCCGTATCCCCCGCCAGGTCCATATCCTGCGCTTTCCCACTCCCCATCCCCTGTCACATGGCTGCGGACCCCGATGGTTGGCAGCGCATGAAAAATTGAATTACACGCACTTTTGCGCATAAACGAGAGCTAAAATAATAAAATAAAAAAAAAACCAAAAGCAAAAAATGAAAACGAACGGAACGCAACAAAAAATGTTCCCCAGGAAAATGTTGAGTGAAAAATGCGGCCGATTTAGGGTTTTTACTGGATGGGGTCTGGGGGGGAAAATTACGTTGGTTCGTCCTCGGCAACACAGCTGCTTGTGGTACCAAATTTACGGCCAGCAAATTGAGTTAAATATTCCTTTTTTTGTGCTTTTGGTTCGACGGCTTACTTGGCTTGCCCTCATCATACTTTTGTTTTCTGGGCTTTGGGCTCTGGGCTGTGGGCGCTCGGCTGAAAAGGTATGGTATAATATAATTGTCCTGGCCGTACATGGTAATTCAATGCATATTTGATTTTATGATTCGTCGGCGGAAAGAAGCATTAATGCATATAGAATGAGGTCTTGAAATCGAACCGAACTCAATCGAATCGAATTAAGTTTCGGGCCCGCATCATAATTGCCAGGGGCCCCCTTTGGAAGCGAAGTGGGATGCTGCAGTTGGAGGACTCTATCATCGCCTGGATTTTGGCTTGACTTAGCCTTAGTCTTCCTGGTGGAAAAAGTTGCTCCTCGGTCTGAAATGTCATTAGGGTTTTGTCGGCTGACAAACTAATTTGCGTAATGTTGACGGAAAACTTTTTATTTGACTTGCTGACTTGGCCCAAAAGCCAGGCCAAAGAAATAAAAGCGAGACGATTCAAAACTTTCTCCCACCTCCGCAGTCGGCCCAGCCAGCCAGTTTGGATTGCATTTTGGTATATTGGGCTGCTTGAGAGTAGTTTGCCTTCCCGGATTTAAGTTTGAGTTGCAAATTACGCCACGCCGCCTCCTCCCCGACGACGTTTTGAATTAAACGTTTTAGATATCACGTATACGCACCGCTGGCTCGTCGGCGCCTCTTATCCTGCGAGTTTAATGTGCATTTCATGAAAATGACTGACTCGATCTGCATAAAATATTTATATATACCTCTGTTTAGGGTCGAGATTCCCGACCCCAGCGAATTATCTCGCATAAGTGTTCACTTCCGAGCATATCTCGAATTATGCGCGTGGCTTTGCAAAATTAAAATAATTTCCACATTCGCCGCAGCGAGCAATTAATCAAGACCGCCCCCCCCAAACTGATATGCGGTCCGGGAGTTATGAGCACGCATTTGGGCGGTTTGTTTCGGGCCGGGTTTTCTGGTTCTGATTTATGTGAGGATTCCGGGCCACCTGTCGCCCGCTGAATACTCCACGGGGCACATTCTGGGCCTTTACCTTCATTCTCCGCGATGTCCTTAGCTCCTTAACCCTCTCAAATGGCTCGACAATCTGCTCATCACCCCTCTCGATATCCAGCTGCAATGTGTCACTTTCGGTTTATTTTTGCGCCCGTTACTGAGATTTCCGGACCCGACACTTTCCGGGACTATTTTTGGGGGTATGGAGTCCTTATCCTTTGGATCCTCTTTCTGCACAAGAAAAAAAGTATTGAGATTATTGGGGTTTGGGATTTTACCCTTGTCGTTTTTCAAAAGTTAAAATTTTATTAATTTAAATAGACCATTTATAATTTAAAATATGAAATCATGTACACTCGTGATAAATCTTAAAGATTAAGCTTTTACAAAAGCTTATTTATATTTTAATATTTTTTTGTAATATTCTCGTATATTCTGTCGTCCTGCCGTTGCCCCTTTCGGCATTCGCCAACTTTAATATGTTGGCACAGCTCGAAGGCGCGGGCTTCCTCCTCGAGTTTCCATTACATTGCAGCGGAAGCCGGATGTTGAAATTGTTGAGGTTGCTTCGCCGTGTTTGGCGATGTGTGGGTGTGTGGGTGTGCCGGTGTAAGCAGCTTAGCCGAGTCCCTCGAAGGATGGCAGTAGCGAGGAAATTGCCTTGAATGCCATGGCTACCGCGACGCGATTCCAAATCAAATCCGGACGCGAACACGAAACCCAATCGCGGTATTTCTTTAAATGCTCAATCAAAAACTTCTGCATTTTCCTACTCTCCTTCAAGGATTCATGATTCAATTTTTCAGAAACTGTTGCCACTTCCAGTGGTTCAAAAGAGATACAAGTATTTACAAACTTGATGGATTTATGAAAGTGTTTTAAACAAATCTATTTTTAAGCCTTGAGTCAATCAATCAACTCTATATGGATTCCGATTCAAGTCAGATATTTTCTGGAAAACTTTAACATTCAAAATGTCAAGGATTTAAAGGCAAAATAAACATGATTATACCGCAAATGGCCGATTTTCCGATACATTACTTTGTGTTCTTGCCTGTTGCGTGACATTCGATCTGCGTGCGCTTTCCCTTCCTGAAGGAAGCCTTCACATCCAAGCTGACTTTCCACTTACTTTGCGAGCTTTCTGAGCGGAAAATGCGTGTGTCATAAATCTACTCCCGCGCCTTTCGCTTAAAATCAAGCTATTTATCACGAGGCGCCGCCGACGAGAGGACGACGACGTCATGCTGCTGCGGTGGCGGCCGGGATGCTAGGATGCTAGCATGCCAGGATGCCAGGACACCGGGATACCATTGTAGTGGGGTATCTGGATGCCAAGATGCCGGAATGGCAGAATGGAAACATGGTAGAACGGCAGAAAGCCGCGATACCACGATGTACAGCACTCTACTCTTATCATCATCGAAGTGGTCGGGGCGGGGGTGCCGCCGCCCCCGAAGGCATCCGCAGTGGTGGCGCATATGTTCCATAGCTGTTGATGTCTCTCCGCAGGATTTTTTATGGGTGTGCCAGAGCGGCAGGCCGCCTGCTGAGGTAAAAAAGTTGCGGACAACAACAAACTTTTCTCGCTCCTTTTTGGCCGGGACTCTGGGACACAGTGGTGCGTGTGGAGGTGACAAGAATCCGGTAATTTGTGCTCCAAGGTTAAATGTTAATGTTCGCCATTATGCAAACATTTGACGTTTTGTTTTAGAAGCTACAAAGCAACGGGTTATGAACACGTGCGACAACCGACAGCCGGCAGCCGAGAAAGCAAACCAACCTAAAGGTCCTTGCTGCGTATACGTAATTTTTTATGCTCTTGCTAATTTGACTGGCGGCAGGTAATAATGCTCCACCCCCTCCTCAGGATGTTGCCAAAAGGTAGTTTGCTTAGGCTGCCGGCCATAATTTAAAGAAGCCAAACTAAACACTGCCAAAAACGACAATGTTGACGCTTAACTGGTTTTGGTCACTAAATGGAGTTGGCCCGAAGCGGTACAGTTGAGATTCCCAAAAAGGAAAGCCACGTCTAATAGGGAAACATTAAATAGTTATAATAATTATTAAAACTTATTAAAATCATTAGTTATTTGAAATGTTTTTAAATATATTTAGACTAAAAGTTATAGACTAAAGAATCTTTAGTAAAGATATCTTTATATCTGAGGTATATGGAACTTTAAACTCTTGGAATATGACCTTGAAAAGTTGAAGTTAGAGGGTCTGGACTGTATGGCCGGAATGCCCTTTTTGGGGTCCGCAAACCTAGAAGGAGATTCTTGAAATGGCTGCCTGGCGACCGTCTTAATGGCAGCTCCAAATGTTGCTAATGTTAATTTAAGAAAATATTTCGGCAACGGCCATGTGGGAGTGTGTGTGTATGTGTTGCCTGGAAACACTTGCGGTGCGGCAACATTTGTGCATTATTATTTGCGGTCAAGTCTTTTGTGGCTTGGCCTTTTAAGGATATCACCAGTACACACAGCCACACATAGCCAAGCAGGGACCAGGCTATAACCCCTTTTGAGCCACAGCAAATAGCTCTGCCAGCAGCGAACTAATTAAAGAAATATTCGTTTAAAAATACTTGTAGCTCTGACGGAAATTACACACACATCTACACACCCACACCAATACACAAACAATGACATACCGCTTTGGCTTCGCAACGGCTCTGTGTGACGTGCATGAGGCAATCAATTATGGCGGACGGTTTGCCGAAAAAAGCGTGTTGCCTACTTTCCGGCGCCCGCGTGTTTGCCAACACAGCAGCACAATTAATTATGTACATTGGGGGCTCCTTGGCCCCTTACCCGGCCTCAACCCCACCTCCGGCCCTTTCATACATTCGTGCTCTTCCTTCAGTGTTTGCCTTAGTCTGTGTTTGCCGACACTGAGAGAAAACAAATGTTTATTCTGAATAATATTTACCAAACCAAAGCAAACAGGTGGATGCTTAACTAAATAGACTAAAAGTGTCTTTAATAGGACTCCCTTTTGTAAGCATATTTCTTAAAAACTTTATTATGTTTTCAGTGCGGAGTAAATGGAAAAGGATGAGAGTCATCCTTGAGCCTAGACGACAGCATATGCTCATGCATGCCTAATTACGATAAATCCTTGCCCTTGCCACCGCGTCCTGCCAACTTTCGCTCACACTTGCTATCCCGCCTTCTCTTTTTAGCCAAAACTTAGTTCGCGAGAACAAGCGCGCCCAAATGAAGCAGGCAACAACAGAAACAAAAATAAGGAGAAAAAACAACAATACTTAGGAAGGATCCTTTGAGCACAAGTGTACATGTGTTTGTGCATGTTGAAGTGGGCCAGAGTGTGGGTGAGTTGGTGTAGGCGTTCATAATTATGGCCGTATTTAGAGAAATTGGTTATTATGTGCTTAACGCCATTTGTCTGACTGGAAATAGTTTGTTCTCGGGGCCCCCCTGTTGATGATCCTTCTGGGAGGTGTGTTTAGTTAGTTTTGTCGAAGGAAACAAAGTATTAGGAGTCCATACACAAGCCTAAAAGAAAGACGCGCGGCATTTAAATTCAATTTAGTCCAAGAGCAATATTCTTCAATTAAAGTCTGGGAAGCACTGTGAAATTCCAATCGATTTTCTAGCAACTCTCGTGGCCAGCCTCTCTATTACCTCGGCCAGCCCAATACTTGAAATTGCTGGCTAATTCGTTATTATTGCCACTTTAGCTGCCTGTATTGGCCCGGCCCGAAATGCTATGTTTCCCACCTTGAACACATTCCTTGAGCAATTAGCCAAGTGTCCTGGTTTTCGGGGGCACACGGGGCGCACGGATTCGCACAGTAAGCCTCGGGCTCTCCTGATGCATGCACGTCCATCAATAATGGATTCCGGCTCCTTGCTCGTTATGCCATCTGTCAATTGGCCATCCATCGATTCTAATTAATCATGCTCTCGTGCCTAATGACTCGCTCTCGAATATCCTGTGAATGGATTGCGACCCTGCTCTAATGGAAGTGGTTGTCAGTTCATGCGATACAATTGTCTCCGGAACGGGAGCAGGAGCCGGAGACGTAGCATAGCGTGTGTATTGTTGCATCCACAATGCACTCTGCAGCACTACGCAATTTCAATTTCAATATCACGAACACGAGCTAAAAACTGCGCAAAAATCCAACTCAGAAAGCCATTAATGCAGTCGAAGAAAACATGCAGACATGGCTCGAAGTACTTCATACTTTTAGGCACTTTTGCTATTTAAACCATCCGATCCAATATAGTTTTATTTTAAATTTCAAAAGAAAACGCATAAAGCTTTTTGAGCAACAATGGAATATTCCTTTGCGATGTATATTTTGCCACAGTGTTCCCGAGGATATATGCTCTGAAGGCTATGGCGATGTTAATGGGGACTGACCTAGAGACCGTCAACAACTTCTCCGAATGCGTTGACATCTTTGTTTTGGCCCGTTCATAAATCGCAATTATTTTGGTTTGTTTTTGTTTTCGTTTTGTCCGTTGTTGTGGTGCTGTGGCTTTGTTCTGCCAGTGGCACTCTTTGGCCGGAAAATGTCTCTGTGGTAAACTCAATTCATCAGTCGCCGATTGACAGGAGACTGTCATGGGAGACCGTCATGGGAGATGGCCAAAAAGCCAGACAAAAGACCAACTGTCTGGCAAGAAAGGCAGAATGGCGACCAATTAGACTAAAAGAGGCGATAGAGAGGACTATTCATAGAATACATACCATATATAAATATTATTAAATGCAGATGCTTCACTCATTACCACACTCATTTAGAGTCTAATGCGATTTTCATAAAAAGTCTCCCCACATTGCCCGACACATAAATTCCCGTAGCTCATATAAAGCCATCATTAAAGGCTTTTTTAAATCTATAAATATTTAGGAAATGGCTAAAATGATTCATGCCAGCGGATAATCGCGTGGGAGGTGTTTTTCTTAGCTTTCCATTTTTTCCTGGACCTGAGAAAAGTGAAACTGCAACAAAGAAACTGCGGAATAGCAGGTAATTAGTTTCCATGGGTGCACCAAGGATACTGTATATGTGCTCTTGGACTCTCTGGGCGACATTGTAAAAAGCGGAATTCTTTCAGATAATTATGGCAGAAATATTTTATATAGTATGCGAGTATATATGGTATGATTTCCATACAGGTTCGTTGGGGTCGGGTGAAGATGAGAAACAACAAAAGTTCTACGTGAAAGTGGCAAGAAGACACAGAAATATTTGTGATTGTTGTTGCTGGCTCTGCTCAGCAGGTTATATTTATAAAATTTCACCTCAAGAACGAAACGGCTGATCATCAACTGGCTGAGAGGAAAACATTCATTTTCATTTCTGGCACGCTCGCGAGTGGACGTGCGGATACCCCGATAATAGCCATAGTCCCAGTTCGATATACACCTATATATAATACACACATATATATAATATATATAGAAAGGTGAAAAGATCTGATCGAAGATCTTTCACCTGTCGCGCCGGGCGTGAGGGTGCAAAGTTTGTTGTGCCGAAGGCTTAGCATCAGTAAGCGCAGCGCGAGTGTCCTGATTAATCCCCCAAAGCCACCAAAATATTCTACAAAATAGCGAAAATCAGTTTTGAAATCTGTTTTTGTGAAGAAAGAGCCAGAGAGTGAAAGGACTTGCCGCCAAGGCATGCGAATAAATTTGCAAAAGTTACGTGAATCATCAGCGAACTGCCGAGTCCAACCCAAGTGAGTGAAAGACGGTGTGGGTGGGTGTGGAGGGATATATCCTCGATTTAAGCCTCGTTTTCAACCCGTTTTTGGCGGGGCATTCAAATGGAGATGAGCTTCGCCTCATTCAATGGCTGCTGATTATGTAAAAAAAAGAAAACGTCGCGGGGGAGAGCCTGAAAATGTCACCTGGTTTCCCATCAACACCCTCGCCATCACGCCCCCACATTCGTGAAAAGCTGTCAAAAATTATTTTCATCTTTCGTAGCGTTGCTTGTTGTGGTCGTTGAAATTTATTAACACATTTTGACATAATCATGTATTCGAATCTCAAATATGTAGATGGGGGGATCTTCTTTAGGCTTTTGAATTGATATGTATTTTAGTGTGCGTTTGTTGTGTCGATGTGTGTGTGTGTAGTCAGCTCATCAAAAAGCATGACAATAATTTGTTCACCCAAAACACAAACACAAACGCGAACGCAAACACACACACTTGGCGACGCACATTGCTCATACGCCGCGTTGCCTGCCTTATTTTTAGTTCGATTCAATCAGCGACATTTTCAGAGATTTTCTATTTCCATTCCGTGTTGCTGTTTGCTGTTTGTGTTTGTCTTTTGCCCGCTGCTCATTGCTTATCATTGATTGCTTTGTTTGCTCTTATTTTGTTTCGATTTCGCCTTTTTATTTTGTCCACTTTTTCCCCCGATTTCCATTCTTCATTTTCCATTTGCCATTTTTGCCCTTTCTAGCATCCCTTTCTGCTTCTCTCTTGTTTCACGAATGTTTGCGGTGCTTTTCTCATATTTATTTTAATTTTCACACCTCTCGCCCAAAACAAACGCACAGTGCCGTGTACTGCAAACTGTGTGTTGTATATCATTTAATTTTTCATTTCCGAAAAATGCAAAAATAATGCCAAAGATTAAACGGGAAAGCTGTGAGGTTGAATTTATGAGCCGCCCGAAAGTAGGCAACAGTTTTTCCACTTTTCCTTTTAGCCTTATTGGACCGGACCTCTCGCCCTCCCCCGCTGCCACTTTCCTAGTCTTTGTTTATCCCACTCTAACCTTCGCTCTTTATTGGCGAGTGCTTCAGTTTTCAGTGGAAGTTCAAGGTCGCTGGCAGCATAGAAAGCCAACACTGCACTTTCCTTGCCGCAGATTCGTATTTGAATTAATGTTCTCATGAAGTGTCTAACATAAAGTTGAACTCGAACTACTTTTTAAAGTTATTGCTTTGGAACAACTGGTGTTGGTTTTCATTTTAGAAAATAATTGGAACTAGAGAACTACCAAGTATATTTCAAAAATCCAACTAAGTAGAGGTTTATCTTCATGGAATCTTAATGAATGGTTTTTATTGGACTATCCTTGAAGAAAACAAAATAGAAATATACCAAGGACTAAGTATATGAACAGGAAGGGTCTTTTGAAAGTTGGAATTTAGAACTGGTACTATATTTTGGCAACAAACAGAGGCATACATAAGTTTGTTAGGAATATATTTATAGAGCTAGACCTTAAAGTTCTTAAAGTTTGAGATCTATAGCCAAAAATATTGTGTTGATCTTAATAATAGGGAACATATAGGCAAAACTGTATTTTAAGTATTAAGATTTTATGATTCGATTTGTATATAAATTTCCATTATAACTTATAGGTAGGTATTAAAAAAATACCTTTATTTTCAAAGTAGTAGTAGAAAGAATTCAAAGTTTTTTTGCAAAAGTTTAAGTATTTTTTTTCACCATAATTTAAGTCCATAATTACCTTAAAACCCTGGTGCTTTTTGTGAAGAACTTTAAATAGTTTGTTTACTAAGTTTTTGTGGGAAAAATAAATTCACAACTGAAAAAAGTACAAACTTTGGGCAAAAACTTAATAGTATTGGAATAATAAAACTTTATCTGTAATGATGTCTTTGTTTTCGCGGAAATTGTTTCTCCATTGTCTTATTGTTTCGTTTAATTGAACATTATTTCGCCGCGAACTGTCCGAGTTAATTAAACTGATGAGCTTTGAGGCAATTGGTGGAATGCATATGCCCTCCGAAGGCCCCGGAGCCAGCCCGCAATCTATTCATTAAGCCGGCCAAGTGTGTGAAGCCAAGGAGCTTATCTGTCCGAATGCACAATACTCGAACTTCATTACCCGCTGTATGTGCTTAACTGCCATATATATCTCACCTGCCAGGACATTGCCACCCGCGCGGACTTGTCATTGTTTTGCCCGGCCGAGCCTTTGAGGGAAAGTAATTAAGTCGGCATCATGCGGCTTATTCGCCATTTGCTGGTTGTTAATGACCAGGTTAACGGATATGACTGTCCCTCTCTCCCCACTTTGCATGAAATCGATCTGCCGTAAAGGTGCTCGCCAGGTTGTCTCTATGGCATTCGAATTTTTTCGACCTGTTTCCTGTTGTTCGCCAGCCAAAAACTCAATCGATTAATCATCGCATTTGGCAGCATCAATTGCTTCAATCGACTCTTGTATTGCTGCACTCGGAAAATTACTTTGAACCTTAAACTTATAGACAAGGTCCTTCTCTTTATTTTTTTTTGTTGACAAAAATTGATTAATATTAAGAATATTATATACAGAAATTCCTTAAATACCATTACCTTATATTACATTGTGTAGCATATTTTTGAATATTCTGAAATATTTCCATTTATATGAATTTGTAGGTTTTTTTTGCATAAATGTTGTATTGTTTTCTATTTATATTAAATTTATTTTTATATTTTGATATTTTTTGTCTATAAATAATTTTAGTTTTCTTTACAATTTAAAGTACATCTCAAAAATAAACCCGTTTTTTGCGTTACTTTTCAGCCAGAACAGTTAACAGCCAAGAAACAGGCCCCGCTCAAGGGCGCCTCGGATACCGTTAGCCGGAAGTCGGCACCCAGAGCCAGAGGAAGAGGAAAAGGAAGAAAAGCAGAAGTAACGGTAAGCAATCACCAACGTAATTCGAACGTCAAAATACTTTTCAGTTTAAAGTTTTCGGTTCTTGCCATAGACAGTGGTGCTAAAATATTCCCTTCGTATTTTTTGTTTTCCGAAAAAGTTTCGATTGCATCTGCTGTTTTGTCTGCTTCGCTTATTTATAGCCCTCGAATATTCTGCAGTTCTATCTTTGGCCCAGTGCAGAGCAGTCTGTGGATTCCGGGCAAGTGAAGTTCTATTTTCAATTCCACTCCCATAAGGGAGATGCAGAGTTCTGACCTTGAGAAGAGTCAATAGGGAGAAAGAGAGATCCTATCGATTGTATTTGGAAATTTATTGAAGAAATATGTACATAGTTTGTTTTTATTTATTTTCTAAAATTAAAAACTAAAGTAAACTATTTTAAAATTAAATATAAGTCATAAAACTTTATTATTACTTCAAAAGAACCATGTATTTTTTAAACTGCAACATTTTTGAAAAGGCTCCCGAAAAATTGTGTGAGTCTGAAGTGCCGGGCTTAACCCTTGATGGAAGTGAAAACTTTTCAATTAGCCCGGCGGAATGTTTGACTAGTTTGCTGATGAATCGGAAACCTGGGGAAGAGAGGGGCTGAAAGGGTGCTAAGGAGAAAACAGCGAATCGGACCGATGCTCGCTCCAATTTTCAATGAAGTTTATTTTTAGGGCCCGTTACAGCGAGATACACAAAAGCGCACACAAATAGCCCAGCAATGGGATATAGATGGAAAATGCCGATGTACGTCCAAATGGGAATACAAGCTCATTTGATGACGTCAAAGAGTGTGCGTACATACAGAAAAGTATCTATACATCTATATATACCTATTCACAACCCGTAAATACAAATTTTGGTAAGACTCCGGTATGAGCAAATAAGTTGCCGTCGATTCGCCTTGTGAGAACTTCATTTGCAAGCCACATGCTGTGTAAAGTATTTGTATCTTTGTATCTCATTAATGGCCTGCAGCCTGCACCCTGCTACGTAGATACAACACACACACAGAACCGTCCCAAGAGACCAAGAATATACACAAGAATATTTTTTGCGTTTGTCTTGCGATCGCGCATTTTGTTTTGTTTCGCTCTCGCCTGCCAGCGATATACATAATAAGTATCTGCAAGATACACAGCGAAAAAAGAGAGCGGGCCCGAAAAGTGAGAAGTCTGCCGCGATTGTATATATTTAAAATAATATGGACTGCTCTTGTTTTGCTTGTTGGCTCATTGGCTCATGTGCTTGGCAATTTTCACTTGCCCTCAGTCGCTTTTTACATTTCCAATCGAATTCTACGAGGCGCGTTGCCCACTAAAATAAAAATTAAATCCCCCCCAGGAAAAAAAGAAGAAAAAAATCATTATAATATATATAGAGAATTGTACAGATATAGATTTATAGAAACAAAGTAAAATAAAGCGAACGGAAATCGATTGAGTCCGCAGCGTAAGCGTACATATTTAATGAAAAATATTGAAAAAAGTGCCCGGGTCGCTCTCGAGTTGTAAACGTTTCGGTTTCGAAGTTTTAAGGATTCTCGCATTGCCAAAAACCAATTGCATTTTATGATTGCCTTTGAGTGGCGCTTTGACAGCAGCAGCTCTAGCTACGATTGCCAAACAGTTTCCCATTTCTATTGGTGAGTTGGGCTTCTCCCCCGCGTTGCGGTTTAGTGGCGACAGCCAGTGACCCAAATTTCATCGCATTCATTTCAATTTATTTGTGTTGATTTCAATTTTCAGTACTTTGCGTTGACGATTTTCCGTCACCCAGCTAAAAGTTTGACCCATTTTTGGGTTTCACTTATTTTTGATTTTTTTGGCAGCTCATTGTGTGCCACGGCTTGCCAATTTGCTCAGGGTCAAGTGTTTGGGTGTGTGTTTCAGGCATTTCCGTTTCCTGTTCACCATTTACTAGCTCTTCCGGCTTGCGTGTGGTCACATAACGCGACTTAATTTTAACCCCCTCAAGGTTAATTATTTTCTGGCCGTTTCGCCGTGTCTGTAAACAAAACATTGAACAACTGTCGCCATCAATCTAGCTTTCGAAAGAAAACAAAGAGCTGTTTATATATTGGCGAAAATCAGACGCTCTAGCCTTCGCCTTCGCAAGTATATTTAAACGATCACAACCACTAGAAATTGGCATTTTCAGCTCCAGTTTGCAATTTTCTGGCCCATTCGATGCATTTGGAATGCATTTAAGATTCACACGGGTTATTGGTTTGGTATTTCGCAATTTTATTCACCGAATGCCGCAGAACGCATTCAAGGACAGGATGGAAACCAACTAACTCGCTTTCTTCCATTCACTGCCAACCAGCATGGCCAAAAAGCCGGACCAACATTTAACTGAAAGCAGAGGAGCGGAAGGGTACTTTTCGGGTTTCCGTGGTTTTCATTATGCTGCCCAGCAAGCTGTGCTATTCACTTTAATCCTTTCAGCAGCGATTCACAAATGCAATGGCTAAATTAGATTCAGCAAACACACAGACACAGGCACAGGCTCTGGCACACACATGGGCGTCCTTTAAAGGACACACTCCAGCTCATACCCGAACGTCCCTATTCAGCACGCACAATTTGAGCCAGCGACAAAATTTCTATTCAATTTGATTTTAAGCGCATTTTCCAGTTAATTGCACTTCACTCGCATATGCTCGCATACCATACATCGAGAATATCCACTTTATTTTGCTTTTTTCGTTGGTTTTTTGGTTGGTTTTGCGATAGCACTGTGAACTTTTGGCCGCATTAAATTGATGGCTTAAATTTATGCGAGCTGGCGGGACAATAATGGCAAACAGGCACCCGACAATTAGCCATGGACCGCTTTCACCGTCGCTGCCATGGCTGTATCCTCCCACATTCCGTGTTTATTTACGGGCAGGAAGTGCGCACTGGTACGGCACACGCGGCGTATACGCGATGCATATCGCCAGCCAGCCAGCTAGTCAGCCGGCCAGCCAGTCAGCCAAAAATCGTATTTATATTTATACTTCATACTTGTATATGCGGGCATCAGCCGAAATATTCTCGGCCAGCACAGCACTCTTCATACGAAATGTGTGTCACTTTTATTATTAAAATCCCAACTGCGACAGCGCTCCCTTTGCCATTAATGCCAGAATATATTGCAACTTCTCAAATGATGTTGCAACAAGTTTATAAATATTTGAGGTTGAGGTTTAAGGTTTGAGAAACTTGATAAACGCAAGTTAATATCACATTTCTCCATAAACTGCAGTTCCTACTACAAAATCTAAACATATAGGATTTCTGGCCTCAAAGAGTCACATTCTCCCTGTTACAACAATGATTCGGAGCAGGAGCTACGAAGGCATATCAAATACGGTTCGGGGCTCGTCCAAATAAACTTGTCAGAGCCGCTTTTAATGAAGCAGCCATAAGCAGATTTGTGGCTTAGTGTATTTACCCAGGCCAAATGAAGTCGGCTCGCGACTTACGACGACGAAATGGTCAATTTATTGTATGACTTTTGCCGTCTTGGGTCCTTGGGTGCCCTCCCTGTGTGTGTTTGGCTGTGTGTTCATTCAAATGAAAGAATTTCGTGGCAATCGGATTTTTCCTTCCTTTTTTATTTTGGCTTTTTCGGTTGGCGGAGCTTACTGCCTGTCTGTCGTCTTATGATGAGCTTAAGAGTGGGTGGCACTGGGCGGGAATCGGGCGGAATTTATAATGATATGAATATCAAATTGACAGCGCTTCTGCGGTATAATCGAATCAGGCCTAATGATTGTTTTGCATCTGATTCGAATTCTATATTTGTGTTTGACTCTCGGGCTTCTAATTTTCTGTTTCCCATTTCAGTGAGCCATGGAGCAATTTGAGCAGCTGCTGACGTGCTGCGTCTGCCTGGACAGGTACCGCATCCCGAAGCTGCTGCCATGCCAGCACTCCTTCTGCATGGAGCCCTGCATGGAGGGTCTGGTGGACTACGTGCGGCGACAGGTGAGGCGATCATCATTAATCATCCCGCCAGCCAGGGCTATGTAGCAAATATAAGTTAGTAGCAGTAGCCGGGAAAGGAGCAGGGGCAGAGTCAGGAGCGGGAGCCGGTTTTCTTTGTGCGGCGTGCGTGTGGCAATTTGGTTAATGCCCCCGGACGTCATGCATCGCAGGTTAACACTCGGCAAAATAAGATCCTGAAGGAATAACAATGAAAAGGCTTCATGAGACATTATTTGGAAAGAACTATCGGGCTTAGCATTTGAAATTTACAAAAAAAAAAACAATGTTTCAAGTTAAAGTTAATTATTACCTGTGATAAGCATTAATTAAAGCTTTATTAAATAACTTTAAGATTATTTTATTGAAAACCTTTCTAGATATAAACGTTTAAGAAATTGGTTAAATACTTATTTCTGTTAATGGATTCAGTTATCCTTGAGCTGTAACTATTTATACTTTTTGATTCAATTTTGTATTATAATTCATTGCACATATTGCTTCCAAAATTTACTCAAAAGAAAAGAAATTGGTTTTCTGATATTTCACTTTAATTGTTATTTTCCCAATAAATTTTCTTTCATTTTATGAAAATATTGACACAGAATTTGTTTATAGAATTTTTGCACAGTTTTGAATCAAAAATCGTAATATATACGTATGTATTAAAGCTACGTATGTATGCTTATAGAATTTAAATGAAATTAAGGCCACTACTTTTACGATAAATGATTTCGAAGATATTCCTATAAATTTTGTTGAAAAAAGTGCACCCAACTTATAGAACTTATTTAACATTTTTGTGAAAAATAATTAATAAAAATTTCTAATAATATTTAAAAATTAATTGGATAATATTTTCTCCACTCAATAATCTTTATAAATGATCATACTCAGTAATAACTGTATGAGATTAAAAATATTGCGAGTCGAGTGTAGTAGCTGCTTAGCCTCTGTGAGGAAAATCTCGCTTGGGAAATGAAACCAAATAAAATGAGAGGAAAAACAAAAAGGCGCCCAACAAGACGCCCCCGAAAATGCTGTATTTATCTGTGTATCTTGAGGCTCGCGGCGCATTTGCGTAGATATCGTGTTGAAAAATTATATAGAAAGGCATATATGTGGGCTAACATGGACCCATCAGAGTGCCGTCAGGGTGATGGTGTGTATCTGTGTGGTGGGCTACTTATAGTCTCAGAAGCGGAGAACGCCTGTGTCTGCGTGTATTTATAAATTCTGTTTTGGCTTTCAGCCAGTGCCACGCAAATAATTGGTAAGCATTTTCATTGTGTTGGCCAAACTAAGGTAAAAAGGGAAATAAAAATGATATATACAGAAACGTAGGGGAGTAAGGAGGAGGAGGGAAAGTTGCATTACCTGTCGTGCAGAAAATAAAGTCCTCAAAATGAAATAGATCTTTGTGGAAATATTTGCGAACCGACAGGAGAACAACTCAATCGCACTCAAGATGCCTTTCCATGATGTCTTCCTGACGTGAAAGGTTTTTAAAGTTGCGAACAGCTTAATAGTTTAAATCCTAATAGTTTCTAAAACCATAATCAAGTTAAGTGCCAATCAGTTTGTACAGTTATCGTTTAATTACTAATCCAATGGCTGCTAATGGCCTTAAGCCGGAAAATGTTATTAAAAGAAAAGTGTCAAAAACAAAGTCGTTTCAACTGTCTAGCCTTGAGCGGTTGCAATCGTATTATTATTAATTCAGCGCCCGGGGAGAACTAATTCTGGTTAAACTAATGATTGTTTGATTTGCAGGTCAAGTGCCCGGAATGCCGTGCCGAACACCGGATACCCTACAACGGCGTGCAGGCCTTCCCCACCAACGTCACCCTGCAGAGATTCCTGGAGCTGCACATCGAAATAACCGGAGAACTGCCCGATCCCACTTCAGGTAAAAAAAATGATTACAATTTCGTTTGATTTCCATTTTTCCTTTGAGCGTGTTTGTGAAATATTTGCCATGAATTCCAACTCGCAATCTGCACTTTTCGTTTTCCGATTCATGCCAAAAATAAGTTGCATTTTCGGTGCAATTAAAACGAAACTCTTTGAGGGCACAAAGCCAAAAGGCAAGCAAAAATGTTATTTATAAAAATATTGCCCTGTAATCATTTCTGTAACTTTAATTAAATTCCATTAAAAACGGAGACCGAACAGCATTTTAGGAATGCAGTGATGCCAACACAAAAACTAGCATTTTTCCATTATGTTTGGCTTTCCAATTAAAAAGTCACGGCCCCACTCGACCCCAGCTGATAGCAATTAAAACTAAGCAAAACCAAATTGATTTCCTTTGAGCAATTTGCATTTGGCCTGTCCCAGGACCCGGCTCCTGAGCTCCGATGACTACGCAATTATTTTGGGGTGAATTCTGGCAGGGGGACGGTATGCAAATGGCTTGCAACTTTCGAGCTGCAATCAGGTTCGAGAGCGAGTTAATAAGGCAGACGAAGCGTTCCGAAATCTCAGACACAGAGAGGATATCTTCCCTAGCTGTTTACATACTCATTAGCCACAGAATACGGCAGAATCCTAGTCCTTCCTAGATAGATCCACATATTAAGTATTTCTCAGGAGGCCTCTTATTAGGTGTTTGTCTTTTTTCTCCAAGTGCACCTCTTCAATTTTTCTAGCTACACAAATTCTCCTTAGCTATGCAAATGTGCGAAACAAAGGAATCCTTTTTGTGTTATGGATATAGCAGGGACAACGAGCACTCGTACAACTTTCATGTGGAATTTGCAAATTCACTTTTCCATATGATTACACGAGAAAATACAGAAGCCAACTATTGGCACACACAACATATTTTCCCCTGCCCGTGCCCCTGCCAGTTTATTGCCAAGCTCAGGCGGCTGGGGCGGAGAAAGCGGTGAAAGCAGCTGAGCAGTGTTCATCAGGCATTGCCAATGCCAGCAATTGATGCAGAAAAGTTTACTTTTTCAAGCTGTGACTGCTGCTCCTGCTTCTTCTGCCGAAGCCGAGGCGGCACTAGTAACGACAACATCTTCTCCATGTTTGCATTGTTGCCCCATTGCTGAGGCTCGTTATTTGCATTGCCACAGCGCAGGCATCAGCATCCCGTCGACAACGAGCCAAAGGATCTCGAGTCAAAAGGATGTGACACACATACACTGGAAATACTTGAAGTCTGTCAGCACTCGAGATTAAAACACTTGAAATAATTAGATTTCATATGGTTTCACTTTCTTAAATGAACAAGTTTTCATACCCCGTAGATATTCATACAAAATCTCCTTATTGTTCTCAGTGCATAGCTGCATAACAGCCGCTTAGGTGCAGTTGATTTCGTGCTCTTGAAATCGCATTAGTGAATGCAACAGACATTCTCCAACTACTCCACTTGGCATGTGGCATGACATTGTTGCCAAAAGTGCAAATTGATGAGCTGCTGGTGTCGGCATTGCTGGCATTTTATTGTTCAACTCGACCCGGCCAGGAAGTCGTTTGTGAGGCCCATTTGGAAGTGTATATTTGGCTGCCAGCAGTGATTAGTAATTGCCCCCTCTCCCCCCTTGACATCGTTGCAGGTCAAATTATGGAACGATGCGGTGTCTGCTCGGAAAAGGCCTACTTGTCCCATTGTGCGCATTGCGAGAAGAAAATCTGCGAGGACTGCAAGAGTGCCCACATGGACATTCTAAGGCGAGAGATTACGCGATTTAACTCACAGGTAAGAAACCACAATTGGTGACCCCGACCGAGATTAATAAAATATTTATTTACAGATTCGTCGCAGCTTGCACCGTCTCCAGGACTCTTTGGCCATTATCGAGAAGAACACACTGAGCCTGCAGACCAACGCCATTAGCGTAACGGAGGAGATCGACGAGATCTACCGCAGGATCACCAAGGCCATCAAGGACCGCTCTGATCAGCTGAAGGGCGAGATCGATCGCTACTTGGCCGTGGAACTGCGCAACCTCACCACCCTGAAGGAGAATCTCGATCTGGAAATCACCAATATCAGCAGCAACTGTGACATTGTGGACAAGTACATGAACGAGACCGTCGAGTGGGACGATTGCGAGCTAATGGACACCAAGGAGATATTCCTAAAGACGGTGGAGTTCCTGCGTCACTTCGAGTACGAGAACAATGACTACAGTAGGAGGGTGAGGTTCCTGGTGTCGATTGACCCGAACCAGTTGGTGATGAACCTGGCCACCTTCGGGGATCTGAACATTGCCCCGCACTCGACGCCTAGCGGTGGCTCGGTGAGCAGCTCTCACCTGGCTCCGCCCAGTGCCCTTCAACCGGGCCTGATGCGGTCCAAGAGCGACCACCGCTTGGCCACCCAGTTCCGACAGCAGGAGGAGCGGGGCGGCTACAACGACGAGCCTGTCCTCGGTGGCCGAAAGTTCGGAGAACGCCCGCAGCGCAGTGCCACCCATGCCAACAACGATCGCTACGGTCGGGGTGGAGACTACGACTACGAGAACGACTATGAGAACGATGGTTCCTCGGGCAGGGCTGGCAAGTCCTCGCGCTTCCGCTCCCGCTTTGTGCGATCCCATCAGAACGACGACTCCGACTCGGAGCAGCAGCAACAGCAGCGCCAGCAGGAGCTGAAGGAGCGAAAGGACCGTGTCCTCGACAGCGAAGATGTGTCCCGCGGCCAGCTCAGCGGCATTATCCGCTTGAGCGACTGCGCCCGCGTTGTCCAGCGCTTGGCGGACATTGGCAAGGAGAAACCCGAGAAGAAGTCCGATGGCGCGGCAGCAGCCCAGGCAGCGATTCAGGCGGCCATTCAGGCCCAAAAGACGGCCATGCAAAGGCAGCAGCAGAAGAACCAGCAAGCAGCCGCCGACGAGGAGGAACTGGCCCGCCAGAAGCGAAAGAACGCAGCGGGCTCCGGGTCCGGTGCAGGATCTGGTGCCTCCGGAAGTGCGGAGACTGCCGGTGACCAGCGCGTGGCAGCCTTGAAGAACCGCGGCGGCGAGGACAGCGACGGCAGCTCCAATCAGGCGGCGTCTCCAGTGCGTAACAGTGCAGCATCCGCGACGCGGGCCGAGGTAAGTGTGAATGAGACAAATACAGAAGAAGAAGCCCTAGCCAGCGAAAGCAGTGACAGCGAAGAAGAGGAAGAAGATACAGATGAGTCTGAAGAAAGTGAAGTAGAACAGGAGGCAGGTCTAAGGCCACAGGACCATCTTGATGTGCCGGAAGCTAGCCAGGATGCCTCGTCGGCTTCCGAGGTTACAGAGGAGGAAGAATCCTCTTCTGAATACGAAGAAGAAACAGCCACCGAAAGCGAAGAAGAAGGGGAGGGGGAAGAAGAATCGGGAGAAACAGCACAAACTGAGCAGCCAAAGGAAGAAGAATCTCTTCAAAGAATAACGCCTCCAGAGATAAATGTACTTCCGCCTGAAAGTGACCTTAACCACAAAGTAGATGAAAGTCCTTCAGAGAATATATCCGAAAATCCCGAAGAAGATAGTCAAAAAAGTGAAGAAGAAGCTCAAAAATCCAAGGAAGAGTTGGCAGCACCCAGGGAAGAAGCTGCGGAAGAATCGAGCAGCGAGTACGAGTATATAGAAGAAGAGGTCACGGATGATGATGAAGATGAGGAGGAAGAAGATTAAGGTCAAGGAAAGGGACACGACAGATCAATGCCAATGTTTGAGGGCAAGAGGGCCAATCCAAAGTAAAGAAGAAAACTAAAAAATTCAATATTACTCTTCAGAATATGCCTTAAAAATTGTGGTTTGTCTAGTAGGATAGTTTGTGTTCCAGAAAACAGATATTACAGAATATACAGTTGTTAGAAGACTTTAGTTAGCACTCGCTGTCACTCTAAGCTGGCTCAGTATTTTACCCATGTTTTGCCTTAAACCGAAATAAATATCCCGCCGAAAGAAATATATAATTACGTATACGCCATGTGTGCTTCGTTCTTATTTGTGCTCCATCGTTCACACTTCCCCTCCGCTCCGTAAGTGTTTCTTTGTATTTGTCGAACCAAATCAGCCGAAAACGAGAGCAACCAATAACCGTTAACTGTTATCGTTCACCGTTTACCGTTACTTTTACCGTTAATCTTACCTAACCAACAAATGAAATAAGCATTCTCCCGAAATTTGTCCCTTTTTTTCCCCGTTTTGTTTTATATTTATTTTTACCATCCTGTTTTTTATGTCATTTATTTTTGTAAGTTCGTGTCTCTTTGTTTTATTTTATCCCGATTGTTTCTTTATTCTTTCATTTTTATTTACTTACGTTTATTGTCTTGTGAGCGCCTTTAACCTAATGCTGTTTTGGGTCAAAACCTTTTTCCCCTCCGGCCGCAAAAAACAACAATACAATACAGAAAGCAAAGTTTCGGCCCAAAACTCGGACATCAGAAATCAGAATTGTACAATATTGTAGACATTCATTACTTATATACCGATATATGGATATATATACCTATATATATATACTTTCTAATGTAGTAGCTTAACATCTTTTACCTTATCGTTAGTTAGAGACTGCAAAAACAAGTTACAACCAATAAAGCAACCAAAAACTACAAAATGCATTTAAATTCTAAAATAACAAGTATTTTCTTTCGATTCTTTTTGTTTCTCCTTTTCTCTTTCTCTCTACATATCTCTCTCTCTATCTCTCCGTGTCTCTGTCTGTCTCTTTCTATCAATCTTTACATCTATTTATATACTGAAAGTGGACAAACGATGTGGTAGTGATGTTAATTTGCTTAAATCTTACTAAATTTGTTTGGTCATTGCTGTCGAGATGAATAAACCACAAAACCCGATCAACTATACGACATTTTCTCTATGATTCTATCACTCTATCTCGCTCTGTATCTCTGTCGCTTTCCTTCATCGTTTCCAATACTTTTTTTTCTGTCAATCTTTTGTTTGTTGTGTTTTTTCTTTGCCCGTTTTGTTGTTTTGCAATTTCTGATGTCCGCTGTAAATATTTCTGTTGTGTATATTTTTCTTTCGTTTTTGGCTCCTCATCCCGCCTCCCCTCCCTTCACACCACTCTTATGTATTCACACATTGTTGCACGCCCCCCCGTGCCCACCTACGCCCCTGAAAAATACCAGACAGAGCCGGGTTCAATGGCGAGTATTTCACCATCATGCGACTGTCAGCGATGCGGCTGTTTCCGTCAGTTTAACAATGTTTCCAGTTCCCATCGACCGTGTGTCTGTGTGGGTGATAGTGTTGTGTGCGAGTGAGAGTGTGTGTGTGGTAGTGACATATGCACGGGCGCTGCATATTTGTCCTGCTGCTGGCATTTAGAAAATGGAAATAGGAAAAGGTTGTTCGATCAATTAGGGCAACATCAAAGCAACTTGATGAAATATCATAAAACTTGAAAAGGGTCCTTTGCCAGACCCGAGTTATTATTGTCGGGAATATGCATGATGTCCTTTTAGAGTTTACTTGAGGATGTAATTGACGCCTTCTCTTTGTTTGACGTTCTTTATTTGCTAGTTTATTGAGGTGGAACCATTTTTTTAAATGCATAAAGTAAATTTTATAGCTTCCAAAAAGAATTTATTAATATTTAATTGTAAAAAAATGGGAATAACAGAGAAGAGGATATTTGTTGGGTATAATACTGCACTCTAGAAGGATACAAAAATAGTTTAGTACGAAATTTTTAAAGAGTTACTGTTCCCAAAGACGCTGCAAGAAATCGTTTTCGCCAAGACCCCAACTTCAAAGCCCAGCTCCACCACAGCAACCTTTAACCTTTGCCACACCGTCATTTCCACACACATACATCTTAGCATTTCTCTGTATATCCTTGCATTTGCATTGCGTTCCTTGCTCGTTTCGTTGCGTTATGTTTCGAGGCAAACCCCCAACTCAACTAACTAAGACGGCCATCGCCACAGCCACAGATTTTGATGCAACTCCCAATGCTCTACCCACACTTTACCAACAGTCGAAACCACCCGTTTCCGCTCAGGTGGCGGCCGTGAAGAAGACCCAGCGATCCGGAAGCAGCGACAGCAGCGCCTCCACGGAGAGTTCGGCCAGCTCGGCGGCAGCCACGGCGGCTGCGGCAACCGCCTCGGCAAATGCCACGCCCAGTGGCAGCAGCACCGCAACCTCGCAGCAACAGCAGAAGGCCGGCAGCTCAGCCCGCTATTCAACCGCCAAGGAAACTACTGCGGCCCCTGAAAAGAAGCCTTTTGTTAGCCGTTTCCTGCCGCAGCACAACAATGCCGGAAGCTCGAACGGCTCGGCGGACAAGAAAAAGGCCGAGTCCAGCTCCAGCAGCGAAGAGGAGACCAGCTCCGAGTCTGAATCCGAGTCCGAGACGGAGAGCAAGCCCAAGACGAGTGCGGCTAGCAGCAGCACAAACACCAAATCCACGCCAAGTAGTGCCACTAGTTCCACCACCGCGGCCAGTGGTTCCTCCAGCTCCTCGTACAGGGATCGCCTGGAGGCCCGCCGCGCCTCTCGGGACGACAGCTCCACGACGGCGGGACGCAGCAGCTATGCCACGCCCTCGAGCAGCGGCTATGGCAGCAGCAGTACCACCCGCACCCGGGCGGTACCAGCCCCCCACCACACCAGCGAGAGCGAAGACCGCTATGGCAGCGGAGCAGGCAGCAGGTATTTCCAAAACCTTCCTTCCCGCAGCTCCAAAATTTTGGTCTAGCGTTTTTGAGTGTATTTTTTCTGGTTCTCTATAACCGAACTAATTTGCATGGCTAATTAGGCGTATAATAGAAAAATAAATATAAGAGATTATCTGCACAGAGAAAAAGTATAAAATATTCAAAGTTTCCATAATTTTCCCCTAAAACTATATTTAAATGCCACCAAAACTAACATTTAAATTGTATTCAAAGTACATAAATATAAAAAAACATAACTTTGACTAAGAAAAACTCATGAAATTTTCTTAAAAATTCAAATTAAAGTAGAAATTATATATTATTGTAAGGAAAAGCCTTAAAATGCCTTGCAAATTATTTGTAATTCAAAAACAACTTTAGTTGTGATTCAAAGAGTATGATCACCTATAACTGAAGTTGAGAGTATTTTTTATTCGAAAAAAAAACACAAAAATTGTTTAATGGTCTTTAATTTTATCTTAATTGGCAATAAAGTCAATATGATAACTGACCAAAAAAGATTTTTTATGCTTATAAAAACTTTTTTCTCTGTGCATAGGCTTATTAGATACAGTTGGTAAAAGATACGGGCCTAAAAGCACATATGTATCTGATGAGCATGGCATACGATATAGATTTATAAATTATGTGTCAAATATGGCTGCGGGGTAATTTGTTTTCCTCGTTTGCGTGCCACACACACTAATTGAGTTACATGCAAAAAACAGTGCCTGCAATTAATTTAAATTTTTAATTAGGAACACAATATGCACACACAACTGCAGAGTGGCTTTAATCGATATGCCTAATGAATACTGCCGAGTGGCTTTAATCGATATGCCTAATGAATAATTGCGTTTGGTTTGGTTTGGTTTCTACACCCCGATGTATTAGACTTACTTTAGATTCACAAAACTCTCTTTTACTATTTACTATTTAGCTTTGTGCAAGTGCTCCGCGCTGGCATTAACCTGGCACTGGCCACTTTGTTGCTCATGCGCCTCGTGTGGCGTCTAATTGTCAAGTTCATAACCTTTACATAGCACCCAGTGCTCTCACACCTACTAAGACACAGCACCAAGACACTCACACACGAACAAAATAGGTAAACACACAAACACAATGTTTTCTATTTGTTGATCTTTGCAGTGCACTGCCCTATAGCATCCCGTACATCAGCAGACCCGGCCGGGCTCGCTACCGAACGAAACGTCTTGCCGATGTCTAGCCCGACTCTATCTATACAATATCAAATACAATATTCTATAAGTCGCCCAGGCCGAATCGTCTCGAATCCAATTCAATTTCATACTCATAGTTCAGTTTCAGTTTGTGTTTGTTAACCCATAACGTTGAATGTTCCACCGTCTAACAGCTTAACCCTATTGATTAAATATTTGAATGTTCTCTGGAAATAAAATTGAACAAGTTGGCCGTATTCCGGAGTACTTGGAGTCACCTTCAATGGGCAAATAGAACCGTGATGATGGTGAATGGTTCACAAAATAAAAAAAAAGAGAGAGCCACTCAAAGGGCTGGAAATTAACTTTACTTCTACGCTTTCTGTCTGTTTTCCAACTGTCCTTATGTCCTTCTGTCAATACCCTTTTCAAAGGGATCAATGCGGCTCGCTCTGGGCTCAATACACTGCGATGTCCTTTCCCTTCCCGTACCCACTTTCCTTTGTGCTTTGGCGACAAAAAGTTCTTTAATTTTACTTTTGCACGACAACAAATGCCGAACAACTTGAACAACCCTTTCCACTTTGCAACAAATCTAGTGTAATGTAATTACAGCACAGGCCCAGTCTCCCCCCAAAAGCGCCTACTTCCATTCCCCATTTTATTCGCATTTGTACCTTCGTTCCAAAATGCTATAAATTGGTATCTGTTATCAGGCCCTTTCCCGGCATATAATTTGCCATCTGGCAGAGGCATAGATCCAGTCTTCCCGGTTCCGATTTCAGAGTTCATCAGTCAGTCAGACAGTCGGTTTATCGCGGAGTATTTACTAAAGGTATTTGTTTAGTGAGCTGAATTTATGCTTTGCGGAGACAGCTCGCACTTTCAGTTGCATAAATTTTCAGTTGAATTTTATCAGTTTGCCAAGTCCTGTAGAAATTGTGGCAGCCAGTAATTATCTGTAGCTTAAAGGCATCAAAAGAGTTTCCTGAATTGGGATATATAGTTTTCAAAATGAATGAGACTATTTGAAAAGCAAAACTGACTGAAACCTACTTTTATTGCCAATTTTAATCCTCATTTAATTGGCGCTTTAATGGTGGCGTATTGATAAAGTTTGCCCATCAAGAGCTGGTTTGAATTTAATCGGGGCTTTCATTTAGTCATCTTCCACGAAAGTGGGGTATCGAATGGTTGTACTTTTCAACTACATGATTTAAACTTTATTTTGTATTATATTAAAATCAAAAGCCATACAAATTAAAGGAAGACTTATTATTTTGTTCTTTTAAACAAAATTTTTCATTAAACTGCATTTTTTTTTATAGAACTTAAACCTCGTAAGGTTATAGTAAAATCTCATAATAGTTATATTCAGTTTGGAGTTAAATGACATAGATTTTATAACTCAAGTTCTGGGAATCGCAGTGGCGAGGCCTCAAACGAAAGTATCACTGCCACTGATTAAGGACTTATTTTTTTAATAATTAAAGCAGAACAACACACATGCACTGACCTTGTGCTTTTGTTGTAATTACACTTTTTAAAAAGTTTTTTTTGTAAGTTCAAAGAGCAGCAATAAGTGTTGCCTGCCTCACTGCCACACTGCCTGTTGCTTTTGCTTCCCTGGATTTTATTTCAGAATTTTTTGCTTGCACTTATGAACTCACCTAGATTTAAGAATTAAATTTACGCCCTTTTTGAGCTTTTTGTATTTTTATGTATTTTGAAGGCTTTTGTAGTAGTTGTTGCTTCTGCCTCCTCTTTCGTGTTACTTAACCCGCCCAACCACTGAACCACCCACCGAGACACACAAAGACACTTACACAGATACAGCAGTAAGGACGCCAATCGGCACCATAATTTCACGTACTTAACCGAACTTTTCCCAACTACTTTGTGTAACTTTCGATAATGCGAAATGTGAATTTAATTAGAAACTTTCAGCTCAGCTCTTTGGTGGCAGCACTTTGTTGTATTTTATATATTTTGTGCCACGCCTTGTATTTTAATATAATTTAATGGCTAATAAATGAGACACCCCCACACACGCCGACACCCCGACACGCCGACACCCGACCCGGACCTAAGCTAGTTAAAAGTTAGTTAATTAAGCGGTGGTCGTCCACAGGGCAAGGGATTAGCTTGAAAATTGAAAAACGAGACACACAAAGCAACAGCTACAGCACAGGCATATAAAAAATAACCTACAGAAAAACAGAAAAAAACACATCAATTATTAAAAAAAAATGTAAAGTGTAAAGAAATGAAGCCAAACCAAACCGAAAACCGAACCGAATCAACATTTTTGCAGCTACACAAGCCGCTTTCTAAACAAAAGCAAGAGCAGCGCCATTGTAACGCAACCCTCGCTATCCACGCCCACCGCCTCCTTTGATGAGGACGCCACCGGAACGGGCGACGACTCGGACGGTCGCTACGGCACGGGCAGATCCCGTTATCTGGCAATGAAGGAGCGCCGCACCCGGCTGGCGCGCAGTCGCTCCTCCCACCAATTTGGCAACGACGACGACGACCTGGATGAGCCGGTGTCCCCCACCACCGTCTCGCCGTCCGCTTACCTGGCCTCAAGGTGCGCCCCCCTTCAGTGAGCCATCTGATCTCAGACCCCCCTTATCTGAAGCCCCCGCCCTGTAAATACTCAAAGGTTATCGGCTGTATATATCCCGTCGAAAAAAATAAAAGTGTTATTTTTTTTGGTGCGCTGGGCGCTTTAATTGTGCGTGTGCTGTCCCCCACCGAAATTTTTTACCAAAATTATCGAATTTAACTTTAATTTATATTTAATTTCTATAGTTTTTAATTATTTTTTAGTTGAGTTTCTGTGCGTGCCACGTCCAACGTTCTCGCCACGTTTCGTTCTCGTTTATGTTGCACTCTACACTAATTCAACTTTTTTGGAATTAATTTTTTTGGTTATTTTAATTTGTATTTCTTATTGGTTCTTATTAGTCAATTAATTGTGGTAAAAAGATGAAAAAAACTATACGCGTTTTTTAAATTAACCGAAATTAACTGGACATCATGTCAAGAAGTTTCCCCCTTTTCTCTTATTAGTTTTCAGTCACACGTCTCATTTAAATCAGAAAAGCGAAGAAAGTGGCTATTAGATTTGAAACTAGAATCAAGAATTTATATTCAAAGATGTAATTGGAAAATTTTTAATATTTCTTAAGGTTTTCTATTGAATTACAAGCTATATATAGCCAAAAAATTTATCAGAAACCTAGTGCTGGGTTAGAAATCTTAAAGATGGTTGAAAACAATCCTAAACTATTTAAAATTTAAATCAATAGCCACTTTGTTCCGCTTGCCAGCGCCTCATGACTTTCGAAATCAGCCAGAACTTCATAGCCCCATCCACCCATTGCCCACCCAACAATGACCCATGGGTCCTGCCGGCTAATCCTCTGGTTTCCTTTGCAGGTACAGCGGCTACGGTAGCAGCGACCTCTCCCGCAGCCGCTCCTCGCACGCCCTTAAGTCGCGCGACAACTCCCCGATCACGGACCGCGGGGGTGCGGGTTCCTCCCGCTCCGGCGGCCTGAGCGCCGGCAGTTCCGCGACGGACAGCAAGGACGGCGAGGCCCTTAGCTCTTGGGCGCGCTACCTCAAGAACAAGTACGGCAACAAGAGCAGCAAGGACTCTGCCGGGAGCAGTGGCAGCGCACGCGACACGCACGCCGGCACCTCCTCGACGGGAGCGTCGTCGTCGACGTCGTCGCATGCGCACGGCTACGGCAGCGGTACCAGCGGCAGTGGCGCCGGCAGCGGGAGTGGACGCAGCACCGCCAGCGACGTGTCGCGGCGCCTCAGTCTGGGTCTCCCTCTGCGGCAGGCCAACGAACTGGCCTCCTCCGATGATGACGGGTCAAAAAACGGGCTAGGCTCCCCTACGTCCCCTACGGTAGCAGCAGCAGCCGGTATAACCGGAGCGGCAGGTACTATCCCTAAACAGATATACCTTCGCAAGCGTCAGCAGCTGTTCCAGCTGGGGGGCCGGGGGAGCGAGCCCGGATCCTTCACGTGGCCGCGCGGCTTGGCCGTCGGCCCGGACAACAGCATCGTGGTGGCTGATTCCAGCAACCACCGGGTGCAGGTCTTCGACTCCAATGGCATCTTCGTCAAGGAGTTCGGCGAGTACGGCAACGGCGAGGGCGAGTTCGACTGCCTGGCCGGGGTGGCCGTCAATCGCATCGGCCAGTACATCATTGCCGATAGGTGAGTGACCTTCTATAACATATTATAAAATTTAAGATAATCATGTTAACAAACCATTTTTAACTTACGAGGCGAACGACATCGATTTCCAAAAAAGTATGCTACACAAATTTTATTTAAAAAGTGCATCCTTCATTTTATTAGTTTCATGATTAAAATGAGTTTTTTTTTGTATCAAATGTCTGTTTAATTTAACAAAAATAGATTGATGTAATGAAAGTGATCAGAAATATTCGAACCAAACGCATAATTATTTAAATTGAAGGATTTAAAATCCATCGACGTGAAATATCCAAAAAATCCAAAGATAGAATAATGATATGTCGCTTAATTTTACCTTCATTTTCAATTTAAACTTTCCCATTTATTTTTTTACTGGTAGAAACGGTTAACAGATATTTGCAAAAAAGTCAATTTGATTCCGTATAATTTCCTTGATCCTAGGCATCCAATTGCTTAATTGTTTATTTCTAAATTCTAAAATATTTAAATGAATTGTTTAATTTTTGAAAATATTTATTATGCGCACAGATCAGGGTTTGTAGCGAGGAGGCATAAATGTTTGTACTGTTTGAATTCACATTGAGCGTTAAAATATTAAATGCAACATAAAATTAATATCAAGTATCAAGAAAATAACACCTCGATTGAGATTAGGATACCAAGAAGCAGATAAAATTTATGCGACATTTAAAAAAATATACAAGTAAGAAATAAGAAAATAAAATGAAATTAAAAGAAATAAGTTCAATGGGTTCTAGAATCAGAGAATCAGACTATGGTAAGATAGAAGTACTGGCATGAATTCGCGTTATGTACAATGTTTTAGTGTTGGCTAATTCCATCCAAAAACTAAAATTCCATCCGATTATGTTTCCCAAATCTGCCAAGATTTCTAGAATTTATAATAAAACTGGGGCTGCAATAGATAATTTTATTAAAATTATAAGCACTTATTAATGGACTAGATTATATGTTTCATAAAAATAGTAATGTCGACAGTAAGGCTCGTAGATCGCTCTTATAGCATTGCCTTACAATTTTCTTTAAACAAATGAAAAGGCGCTTTATTTCTTACATTAAAATTAACGATGTTTCTTTATAACTCGATACAACTCTTCCATAACCAACTTAGGGACTTCCAGAAGACCCTAAGTAGATCCCATAGGAGCACAAAATTGATATTGCATTCACTTTCGGGAATGATATTTTATCTCCAAGTGGCTGAGCTCCTGGCAGCGGTCAGTCTGCGTTTTAATTAAGCGCAAACAAAGGCGCATGATTAATTCCCGGCCTGGCTTCTCGGGCTTCTAATTGGCAGGGCTAAGCGCATAATAGCCGCGTTAATGAGAAACATGTGCCAGACTTGGCAGGGCTTGGCTTGCCCGGGCTGGGCTGGGCCAGGGCATCCAGCGGACGGCTTTTCGGAGAGTTTCTGGCGCTCCTGCACATGTTATCTGTAACCTTTTTACGAGTGCTGTCATTGTTTGACGCAAAATCTCGTTAAGCACCCGGATCTGGAGGGGGCCGCCAGCTCATTGTAGGAGTCAACTTTGATTTTGCACGTTAAGCGGCTTAGAGCTAAGCCCAACACCCATCCGCACAGCCACGGGCTGAAAACCCACGGCCGACACCTTTTCGCATTCCAAGGCGTCGCGCTCTGGTTGACAACCCTCGCAGGTTTTTATTTTATTTTCGGGAACCCGTAATAAGATCTCTCTTCGTTACGGCTCGCAATTAACCGGGAATCCGTCGATTCAATGGCCCTATAAATTGGCAACAGGACTTTAAGTCGGAAAAATACTTGGCTACTGCTTCAGTTTGGACAATGAATATAAAAAAACCCAGTTGAAAAACTAATAAATACTTGGGCACTTTTAAGAATTAGAAAGGATATCCAAATAAGGACTTTTTTTTAAAACACACAAGACAAATGTTCTTTTGAGAAAAATCTGTATTTATTTAAGCTGCACTTGAATGACGGAAAAGTATTATACATCGAAGGTGTAATATGGATTGAAATGGTTTTCTGTGACACTGAGACTTCTTTTTGTTTTTTATTTTACAGATACAATCATCGCATACAAGTGCTCGATCCCCAAGGACGATTCCTGCGCGCCTTCGGTTCGCAGGGCACCGCAGATGGCAAATTCAATTATCCTTGGGGCGTAACAACCGATGCACTCGGCTTCATTTACGTGTGCGATAAGGAGAACCACAGAGTGCAGGTGAGAAGCGGGTTGAGGGTGTTCTGTCTCCATTTCAGCTTTCCAGTCCACTCTCACCCATCGACCACCTGCCACCACCCATCGCCGACAACCCACCGCCAGCCACCCATCGCCCACCTTCAATCTCTCTCACTATTCACAACCTTTTCCAGTTTGCCTCCATCTTCAATCTCGATTTGCATGCAAATATTTATATATTCAGTGGATCGGGTGGGGGGCTGGGCTGGTGGGTGCAAGGCTCGAGTCCTGCCCAATTTGTCACACTTGAGCTGCGCGCACACAACCCCCTGCCTCCCACTGGCACCTGGCAAATGCCAGAACAGCAAATTTTCATGAGCTTAACTGGAGTATATGTATATGCATTGGCAAGGACGGTCCCTTGTCCATCCTTTCGAGAGCTCCTGTGCCCATTTCAATTTGTAAACTTATATATCGTGAATATTCGCATTCGTCAGGTTTTCCAATCCGATGGCTCCTTCGTTGGCAAATTCGGTACCTGCGGCCGTGGCGAGGGACAACTTGAGCATCCGCATTATATAGCCGTATCGAACACGAATCGTGTGATTGTTTCCGATTCGAATAACCACAGGATTCAGGTGAGCCACCAATCTACCTATCTACTGCCCCACCCACTTTTCATGCCTGTCTGGCCATGTGAACAATTTTAATTAAAATATGCTCACCGCCGAGATTCGTTCGCAATTTATCTGACCCGGTCTTCTTTTCCTTTCCGCAGATTTTCGACGTCAATGGCAAGGTGCTGTCCACGGTAGGCGGCGAGGGATCCGACGATGGCCAGTTCAAGTTTCCACGGTAAGCAAATCGAATTATCCTTGCCGGGAATATAATTCACAAATAATATTTCCTTCAGCGGAGTGGCCGTGGACGATCTGGGATATATTTTCGTGGCCGATTCGGGCAACAATCGCATACAGATCTTCAATCCGGATGGCAGCTTCCTGAAGACCTTCGGCTCCTGGGGCTCCGGCGACTCGGAGTTCAAAGGACTCGAGGGCGTGGCCATCATGTCGAACGGCAACATTTTGGTGTGCGACCGCGAGAATCACCGCGTCCAAGTCTTCTGATTCAGGGAGTCTTCAGAAAACAATTGCATTATCTCATTTTGTCATTAATTATTATTTGTTCGGAAGTGCCAAGGCAATTATTGTCTCTATTTCTGCGCCCAGAAATTCTGCCAATTAACCAAGAGAAAAGCTGAGAAAAAAATCGAAAACTTTTTGTTAAACTAAAGCGAAAAAAAAGAAACCTTTAAATAAAAAAAAGCGAAAACTCGTCAGAGTTTGAGTGAAATATGCCTGCTCTTTTCTCTCTATATTGGGCTTTTCAGTATATAAGAGGCCTAGCGCCCAACTGTTTATTGCTGCATTCAAGTATTCCCTAATTGAGATTTATCTGCCTTCAGACCAACAATTTCCAAATTTGCTGCCGCCCCGGGCACTTTATTAAATTAAGATGTTCTGTGCCAGCAAATTGGAAACTTTTTTTTGCCTCAGCTTTTCGCATAAACTATTTGCCTCCGCAAGTTGCCACTACCACTGCCGCTGCTGCCGTTGCCAGATGCGTGTGGCGTGTGTAACTGTGTTGCAAACACAACAACTGTGTCCTGTTCGGTAGTAGCGGCAACTGTGCCAGCTACAGTTACAGTTACACGATTTATATGCTGCCGCATAAATTTGTTTGCCGACAAATGTTGCGCATACGCCATGTATTTATGTACTCGTCCTCCTCCCAAAAAAGTGCTGGCGCTAAAAAAACGTATGGAACGGGAAGGAAGTCAACTAATTTCAAATCAGGAATAGCTTATACCCTTTTGGATACAAAAGGTGCTTTAAATTTAAAAATAAATTCAATCCTTCAGAATAAATAGTTTGAATACAAGTTTAAATCAAATGTTCGCCTATATTAAAATCAATTCATGAATTCAAATTTTATTGAAGTATTATTTTCGTATATGCCTGGTCTGTTTATTTAATATTGCGTATACGCCAGGTATGAGGCACATTGCGTATACGCCATGTATGCTGTGTCCACATTGCATTTTATGAGGGTAATTCCATTAATTTGTCAAGCGATAACGTAATAATTACAAAATAGATTATAGGAAGAGAATCCATTGGTTAACTTTTGTTTATTATTGAAATATATTAACTTTAAAAGTTTAAACTCTTTTTCACAGTTTTTATGCCTAAGTGCTGAGCTTCATCTCCCAGGCATTATACTCTAGTTAATATGCCAGACTCCTCAAAAGTGCTCACATCCGTCGCTGGCTTCTATCACATCCACACTTGCCTCATACAAATGACGCAAAATGTTGCCGGGATAAGTGAGTTTTATGTGATTAAAATGCATGTGAGTGTGTGGGCGGCAATGAGGGTGCCCCGGTGTGCCCCTGTGTGTGTTAAAGCGAGTGCGTTCGAGTTGCGATGAAAGTTTATGGCTTACTTACTACAACTTATGGCACCCTTCAAGTAGCGAGTTCCACCGCTGGCTTTCCCCCCACCTCGCCAATAAAATTCTTTGATTTGCAACAATTTGCAATTAACCTTTGATTGAGGCACGTAAATTCTTTGATGAGGCCTAGATATGCCGCACACACATACCCACGCATAGATGCACAGCCACACCCCCCTGGCCAATTTGGTTTTGTGTAATGTGACAGTTTTGCCTTTCAATTAGCGAATAGGGATTGCAACATTTTAATCAACTTTTCGCATCATTGAAGGACAAAGTCGAAATGCTTTCTGTGTGTTTGTTGAATTTAAAGGGCAGAAACAATTTGTTAAAGTGCCCCATGCCTCATGAGCGTGCCCCAAACCATGACCCTCCTCAGCCATCACCTCGCCTAGCCTTATTTCATGTTTTCGGTGTTTTCTGCAATTTTATGGCGCGTATGGGCGTGGCAGCTGTGTAGCAGCTACAAGTAGCGACATTTTTGGAGCTTTTGTATGAGAGTACCCCCACCCACTCCCCTCACATATTTTACTACACTGTTTCATGAGCGAAATGATGACGGCTGGGAGGGGAGTCAATTTTTATGAGTTGTAATTTTTATTTGCCATATTTGCATGTGTCACGTGCCTTCAACTGAAATTTACAAATTTCATTTAAATTAACTATACTGGGCGTGCTGGGTCGGGGCGTGGCAGCGTTTAATTGGAACACGTTTGCCATCGGGCTTCTATTTTACGACAGCCAAATGGCAGGGAGTTGCCATAAAAAGCGCCAAGCCAAGAACAACTTTGAACGCAGTAAAGTATGCGTTGGCGAAACGGAAAACTGAAAACTGAAAACTTTCAACAGACAAAAGGGGAACAGGGGTTCTAAGCAACTTTTAGGAAAGCTTAATCTTTTTACTATCGCCGCGGCAAGTTGGCCAAGTGGCAAGGTGGCCGTTACTTTTGATTTTCAACGCCTGGCGTTTGATTTTCATTTGTTTGCACTTGCAACAGGACTTTGGCAACACGACGACTCTGGCCAAGGCGATAGGAAATCAGTCCAATCCATCTCGAGTCGCTCCGTACAGGCCAAACTGGCTACAGCGCCCTGCTTCCATCGCCATTTAACTGAAGCTGACCCCGCTGTGCAATTTTTATGGCCATTCGATTTTGTTCGCTTGTTTCTGAGCGTTTTATGAGCTGGTAAAAGTTTATGCAGCTCTCCCCACACACATATCCATATATATATTCGCTTTAAAGGAAAGTTGCATAAAAGTGAAAATTGTTCATGGTGGAAATTCATTTCCATTGTTTGCTTTCATTTGGCAGGCAACCAGGCAGCCGGGCAGCCGTTCAACTGGGCAGCCGGGCTTTCGGTTTTTTGGCTTACATTTCAGCGCCAAAATAGTTTTAGATTTATGGTAAATGGAATGGCAAATGGATTTTTTTCTGTTATATATTTATACATGCAACGGCAACGTGCCACATATAAATATTGGCAGCAATTTTTGGCTTGTTCAACAAGTTTACAAACAACACATACTCAGTGGCCTGGAATGTGGCAAAGGGATCAATTAGTTATTCAATGTTTTCTGACGTAAAGTCCCTCACAAAACGCAAAAAGGATCAATTAGTTATTCTATTCATTCACATGGAAAATCCTTAAATTGGTTTCCAGTATCTTTTTACAAAGTCGCTGTCAATTTTGATGAATTTTGTTTATGATAGAGCTTCAAGGGCTTACAACTGATAAATGGTATAGTATTTCCTTACAACAAAATGAATAAATAAACGAGCCTCTATTAAAATAAATATTAAAGTATTCCATGCAATTTGTCATAGTTTTTATAATCAATTAAATTTCCAAATGAATGTAAGAGTTTTTGGTTTTTGTTTTTTTACCTGAGTTACAGATGCATCTGTAGCATAACACATTCCATTTAATTTAAAGCCTCTTTTCGGATAAACCGTAAAGTTTTCACTCCATAATCAGTTCTTAAGTACTTTATGAACATAAGTGGCTGCTTAGAATTGAAAATACTTGCTTACCCTCTTAAATTGGCCACTTGAATTGACCCAGTTAAGAGCTGTCGTGGCCAGGTGCGTCTTCCCACTTTCTCCCTCATGTCCTCATCCATTCAGTCGGCTCGCCTCACTTTCTCCTCTCTCGTTTTTATTTTTCAAGGGTATTGCAGGCTTCGGTGCACCGCAATAGTCGTGTCCTGGTTTAATTTCTCTAAACATTTCCATTGTTGCTGGCCCCAGCTGTGAGCTGTTATGTTGGTCAAAATGAAAAACCCTTTTCGCTTATTACTTTTATTTTGAGTTGCCGTTGTGTGCTGCTCTTCTTTTTTATGTCCATTTTTTATACCTGTTAGTTTGATAGATGAATGGTATATTGTGTTTCAGGATGCTTATGTAACATTTGGGATTCCAAAATTATAAATTTTTAATCGGTATTCGTTTTTTTTATAAATATATAGAAAACACTATCAAATACCTTACTGAAATCCTCTAATATTTTTATTCTAATCCCGAATGTCCAAAAGTATGCATCGGAAGAAATTATTTACCTTTCAAGACTTCCCTTATAAGTACTCTTGTACCGGGTATCATATAATCGGAGAACAGACGACTTATTTTCTTTCAGTTAGTCTTGAGAGGGATGCAGCGAGAATTTTTCATTTTTTTTTGGGCTTTTGTCTCCGTACCAGTGCACAATAAAAATTTTTGCAAAAAGCCGGAACCATTCGGGCTCCTTGAGATTGGCCGGAGGCCAGAAGCAACAGCTGGCCACCTTTTTGGCAGTTAAGTGTAAAAGCATGCCTAATGCCTCGGACAGCCGCACAACAAGTTACCAAATAAATAAGTGGGCGGGCGTGTTCTTCGAGTGGACCACTCAGTTTCAATCAAAAATTACACGCAAACGGAAAAAATTCGATTTCAGGAAAGCCAGATTTCTCTATTGCCACAGCATGTGTGGATGGGTATGTGGGGGCTATGTCCTTAACCTTTTGTGGCAGGTGCTCTCCTCGAAGTTTCCATCTACCGTTGCCCAGTTTCCCAGTTTTCCGTTTCCAGTTTCAGTTGCCACTTGCCATTTCCCGATGCCGACTGCACTTGGTGGTACATTTAATACCACTTGAGTGACTTTTTATGGCCAGGCGGGCACTCATGTGTGTGTTGGGGCCCTCTTTCGTGCGTGTGTGTGTGTGAGCCTGGTATTTCGTTGGTTTGTTTTGTTTTTGTGTTCATTTGGACTTAGCCTTGCCATTTGTCCGCCGTTTGTTAGTTTTTGCCCGTATTTTTTGTTGTTTTTTAGATTTTAGTTTGTGTTTTTTAGCCATTTTTGCCTCGCATCCTTTTTTTGTGTAGTTGTTGTTTTGGCAACGTGTCAGACATTTTTATATGCATCCAGCAACAGCGAAAACTTTTCACTTCTACTCGTATTATTTCCATTTTGAACCGGCTTTTGTTTTCATATTTTCCTAGCTTGCTGAATGATGGCTAGCTTGCAAAAAAACAAAAACAAAGAGTGCCTGCCAGGCTGGTGAGGGCCAACAGCTGTTGGTTGCATTTAAATAAATATTTTAATAAATAAAATGGTCAGCTCTGGCTGTGGCCACAGATGGAGCCATTTGCCGAGAAACCGTTTTCCGAATGGCAAACGAAAAATTCATTTGCGTCAAGTTAATAGAAAATTGAATGAAAAACTTGTGTTAATCGCACAAGAGTAGACCAAGTCTGCAGAGCAAGGACTCTGAGCCGGCTCAGTGGGAAACCTGTGTAAATACCACTGCAACTGATAGAAGGGCACACTCGCATCCAGAAACTTTGTGAAGAGGGCTGAATAAATA